GTGTGAGCACCCACAGAGCTGAGCAGGAGCTTGCCTGTGCCCCTGGTCTAGTCCTGCCCTGAGCTTTAACGTGTGTTCCCCCCCATTCTTTGGGGAAATGCTGAATTGCAGGAAGCTGCTTGGCAATGGCCTGGGACTTCTTTCAAAGGGGTTAAAAATAAGAATTCTGATTTTTGGTGTAAGGGAGATGGAGATGTGCTTGGAAGCAGCGATTCCTGCCTGTGAGTCCACTGTCAAAGTCCTCCAGGGGTCCGTGCTGTCACTCTGCCCCAGGAGGGGGTTTGCTGTGCTGTTGTGGAGGATGCTGCTCAGGCTCCAAAGCTCAGAAGGGAGACCTGAAGCTGCTGGACACAAAGGAGTGGCACTTCCAGCAGCCCCTTCCCACCTGGGGACAGAGCCACAGAAGATCTGTAGGCAAAAAAAAAAGGACTTTGTGTCTGGGAGATGGAAGCCCAAGGCCAAGAAAGGGGGAAAATCACTGCCCTGAAAGGGAAACAGGCAATGTGGGGCCACCTTATTGACCTAGCTTGTCCTCTGTGCCGTGACACGCTGGGGTAGAAGTAACTGCCAGCGAGGACTTCATGTCTCATCCTGAAGATCTGATGGCAGCACTACTGTGGGAGATGTAGTGCTGTGCAGAAACCAGGGCTTTATAGCCGATTTACCAGAAAAGAGGTAGTGGAATATCAACGTAGGGATAGGGCACACACGGGAGTGGTGGATTTAAGCATGATTGTACCTCTGGCCTTAGGGCATGTCATGCCTCAGAGTAGGAGATGTCCCCAACATCTGACCAGCTGTACAGGATGTGTTTTTGCGGTCTCCTCGCTAGCCCGGCGGACACAAAACCTCCATCCAGGCTGTCAACAAAAAGCCATTCTCCAGGGCCTTCCTGGGGAAAGGGCAGGCTCTGAACTTTTCCCTGGAGGATACTCTGTTCCCTGTTTATTGCTCAACGCGCTTCTTTTCACTCTCGGCAAAATATGGTTTTTTTTGTGCAAAGAGAACAGACCTCCCTTTGGGCAGGGATCATTTGCATTAATTAACGGAGCTGTTATGCACGGCCACGCTCTGTCGCATAGGAGCCAAACAAACGCCTTCTCTCTCTTTTTCTTTTTTTTTTTTTTTTTTTGTCATAACCCAAGAGTTATTACAAGTCGGGCACCGCATCCATTACAGCTGATGCATAACACGTGCGTTCGCGCTGCTGCGCGCTCCACAAAAGTGGGCTTGTATTTCCTTCCCCTCCGCTGGAGCTCTGGACACTGCCTTACTGTCTCTTGTGGGCCAGGCACTGCTCCCCGTTAATTATAGCGTAGCCCTTCGTTTCCTGGGAATGAAGTTTTACAAGGAAATAAGGAATATTTAGCGCTGAGAGTTCAGGCTCAGGGAGCAGTGTGAGCAGCTGTGGGGTGTCCTTTCCCTTTTTTCCCCTGCTGATTATATCCTGACCCGTTAAAACAAAGGAGCTCTGATGGGAACATGTTGTTGGAGAGCAGAGGGGACACTGAAGGGGCTGTACCCACTCCAAGCCTTAGCCCAGACCACACCAGTGCTCCCCGTGCTGTGGGATGCTGTACCCACTCCAAGCCTTAGCCCAGACCCACACCAGTGCTCCCTGTGCTGTGGGATGGAACTACTGGAAAGAGTCCAGTGTAGGGCAACAAAGGTGATTAAGGGATTGGAGCATCTCCCTTATGAGGAAAGGCTCAAAGAGCTGGGACTCTTCAGCCTGGACAAGAGAAGGCTGAGGGGAGACCTTATTAATGCTGACAAGTATCTAAAGGGTGGGTTGAGGGAGGATGGAGCTGGTTTCAGTGGTTCCCAGAGACAGGACGAGGGGCAACGGGCACAAGCTGGAACATGGGAAGTTCCACTCCAATCTGAGGAAGAACTTCTTTTGGGGTGTTCTTTCAGGGTGCCAGAGCCCTGGAAGAGGCTGCCCAGGGAGGGTGTGGAGTCCCCTCCTCTGGAGATCTTCAAGCCCCACCTGGATGCTCCTGAGTGATGTGCTCTGGGAAACCCAGCTTTGGCAGGGGAGTTGGACTGGATGATCTCTAGAAGGTCCCTTCCAACTCCAACAAGTCCGTGATTTCGTGACCTTTTCCCAAGGAGGCTGGTGGGTGGCTGAGCTGCTCTTCAGGGCAGGGATTGCTGAGGCTGTAGTGTGGCTGTAGCCACAAACCCATCCAGCAGAGTTGGCTCAGGCTGCCTGTGGGTCAGGTCAGCTGTGGGCTGTCCCCTGGGGATGCTGGTCCCTTCCAACTCCAACAAGTCCGTGATTTCGTGACCTTTTCCCAAGGAGGCTGGTGGGTGGCTGAGCTGCTCTTCAGGGCAGGGATTGCTGAGGCTGTAGTGTGGCTGTAGCCACAAACCCATCCAGCAGAGTTGGCTCAGGCTGCCTGTGGGTCAGGTCAGCTGTGGGCTGTCCCCTGGGGATGCTCTTGGGAGCCCAGTGGCAGTGTGGTGGCCGGGATGGCATCTCCCTCTGTCCCTGCTCGGTCATGTCAGAGACAAAGTGACACAGCAGTGGTGTAGCCCAGAGTGCTGCATGGTGTTGTGGGCATGGAAAGCAGTGGTGGTGTTCTAGTCAAGCTCTTCAGAGCTCCGTGGTGGCCTGCCTGGTGACAGCAGGAGGGTGTGGGTGGAGAAGGGAGTGAGCAATAGCTGGTCTCTACCTCTTGGCCACGGGAATCGTCGCAAGGGAAGATAATGTCACCCTTGTCACTCGGTGCATTTGTACTTGCCCAGAGTTGTGCAATGACTCAGTGGCAGGGCTGGGAAGAGAGCCCAGTGCTTCTGACCATCCTTGGAAATGAGTTTGATGACGGCGATGCCGATGCGTCGGCTACAGCCACCTTCAGTCTGTCGTGTCCTCTGTGTCTCTGCCCTGCCAGCATTGTGTGCTGCCCCCATGGTCTGGCAGTCCCATCTCCTCCCTGCTCCTCTCTCCTCTCCTGCGTTGTCCTCCCTCAATCCTTGCACTGCTGTGGGGCCAGGAGCTCCCATCCCTGCTAGGAGGGGTGAGGTGGGTGCTCCCAATTAGAACTGGAGCGTGACTTAAATACGGATGGGGAGAAGTATGCTTGGCAGTGTATAAAGATAAACCAGCTCGAGCAGATCAGGAAGACCCTTGGGGCTTGTAGCTACAGAGGGGAATAAAGGCAAGAAAGCACCATCCACTCTCTGCCACTAAAGCGGGTCTGGGAAAGGAGCTCTTGAGCCCAGGTAGGGATGCTAATAATTATAAACAGCCCTCGTGCAGGCACTTCTCATCCAGCGGTATCCCGAGGGTGTCCTGGGGATGCTGCAGCTTTCCAAAAACCTCGGCTGAGGGGTGTGGGAGGACACGGGGAGTTGACTCGTGGGCTCTTCTTCCCTGCCAAGGGCACAACAGCATCCTGCTCATTGCTGGAAAGCATCAACAGGCGTTGTCTTTGTTGTGTTCCCCGTGAGTCTTCCCCGCTGACAGCGAGATGAGGAATCTCATACCACGCAGGATGATGCAAATAGAAGAGGGCATTGCAGGCTTCTCTCCCGCTCACCAAAGATGTTTATTCATCTTTTTTTTTTTGGTTTCCCTCCCCCAGACTCTACTACGTGATACAATTGCTATTTAAAAAAAAAACCCGAATAGATGGCTGCATTCGTGGCTGAGCAGGCACAGCATGGTGGGTTTCTATTTTTAGGCTCGGCACGGCTGGCGACGTGTAGGTGTCGTGAGGAGCACAGAGGCTGAAGGGATTCTCTCGCCGCAGGGATGCGGGGGCAGGCGCACGAGTGCGGCACACAGCCTTTTTTTTCCCCTTTTTTTTTTCTTCTTCAAGCTGCCTTTTTCTCCTGCTCCCTCCCCCTTCTTCCTCCTGCTGCTCAGTCATTCTCCCTTCACGCCCCCACCTCTCCTTCGGGTGCTGCTGGCAGGGAGACAGTCAAACGCCTTTTTGAAACACCACGAGCAGCCTGGATGCTGAGAACGTGGAAAGAGAAAGCATCTTTGCACATATAAACGCCCTTATTCCTTGATTAGGCTTTTTTGTTGTTGTTGTTTTCTACGTGTTTCCTAACTGACCGCCTGGGAATCCCTACCCTCTCCCCGAAAAGAGGTCTGAAATATAAAATGGCAGGAATCCTGGTCTGCAGGGTTCTGTGCTGGGACTGTAGAGCTCTGTGCTGTCATTGCCTTTACCCTCTGCCTTATCCTCCCAAATTGTGTGGACACAGGGAAAAGAGCAGTTCTCTGAGCTTAACTTCTGAAGGCACGTGTGTGCATTACAAATCTAGCATCTTCTGGAAGCTGGAAGGGAACTACCACCACTCAAAGATCTGTGTTCCATAACGTCACTTTTGCCTTTTAGGATATGGGATTCCCCAGTTATTTGTTGTTTAGGCTAATCAGGGTTCTGATGTTCACTGCCTCTAGGGCTCTATTTGAGCTGTGTTTGATCAATGCAGGACTGGCGTGCCCTGGTGGGGCTTCTAAGATCAATGCTTCTGCTTCTGTTCCATGGAAATGCACCTTGTTAGGCTGTTTGGAGATGGTGCAACTTCAAGGAAAAGCGGCGTGAGGGCATGTGGTGCAGAGCAGTACCCTTCTGAAGGCAGGTGAGGAGGATATCGATCCAAAGATGAGCACAGCTGGGGAGCAGTGAGTGGCACAGAAGAGAGAAGAGTCTCAGCGTGGCTTTGCGTTACTTGTGTTCTTCCAGGGACGGTCTCCTCCCCACCGCTGGTTTATGAGCAGGATGATGTTTCTGTGGCAGGGGCTGGTTAGACAGGAGCTGCTCTTGGCAGGGTCTCTGAGCAGTGGCAGGCATGCTTGGGGGCTGGGGGCTGGGACTAGAGCCTTGGCAGGGTCTCTGAGCAGTGGCAGGCATGCTTGGGGGCTGGGACTAGAGATAGGAGGTTGGAGCAAGATGATCTTTAGGGTCCCTTCCAACCCTCACCATTCTATGATTCTGTTCCTGTCTGGGTAATGCTTTGGTTTTTTCCCCCTATGTCAGGGCTGGTGAGAAGGGACATCCCACCATCTCCCACCCGCAGCCATGGAAGGAGGCGTGCAGCTCCTCAACCGTGATGGCCACAGCATCTCCCACAACTCCAAGCGGCACTACCACGATGCCTTCGTGTGCATGAACCGCATGCGCCAGCGCGGGCTGCTCTGCGACATCGTGCTCCATGTGGGCACCAAGGAGATCAAGGCCCACAAGGTGGTGCTGGCGTCCTGCAGCCCGTACTTCCACGCCATGTTCACAAGCAAGTAGTGTCCTCTCTTCCCCATGGCCGGGCTCTCCCAGCTCTTCCAACCCTCTCCTCCCTGCAAACCCCTTCCCTTTCTGTCCTGCTAACTATTCTCCCTACTCTCTCCTATGGAAATATGGTGTCTGTGTATCATCTCTGTGGGCGAGTGCAGTAATGTTCCTCATTTGACTCCCTTCCATGAAGTCCTGTGCCCATAATGCCCTGCACGGGTATCTTGATGCCCATCCTGCAGGTGTGGACCCCGTTCCCTAGAGTATATTGCTCCTTCTCCTTGCTAAGAGGTGGGCAGGAGACCTTCCCAGGCTGTGGTGCTGGGCTGGGAAGGTGGATGGGGCTTGTTCCCTGCGTGGTCGAGTCTTCTTGCGGAGAAACAATCCTGCTGTGGGATTTTGTTCACGTCTGGTGTCTGTGTTGCCCCAGATGAGATGAGTGAGAGCCGCCAGACCCATGTGACGCTGCACGACATTGACCCCCAGGCCCTGGAGCAGCTGGTGCAGTACGCTTACACGGCTGAGATCGTGGTGGGCGAGGGGAACGTGCAGGTAGGAGCTTCCCCCCAGATCTCTCTTCTCCACAAAGCCATTCTGTAGGAGACTTGCCTCCTAGGGGCTCTTCTCTCCTTCTGCTTAACACTTGTGGCTGTTGTTTGATGGCACCTGCATCTAGTGGTGATCAGGGCGTTCATCTGCTCCCCCCCACCTAGAAGTGTCTCCTGTGGCTGGGAATGGCTTCTCAGAGCATATACAATGGTCAGGTCTAGTCCTGAGCATCTGCCATTCTCCTGCCATTTCCTGGCCCTGTGGGGAGTTACGGGTGTCCTTCTCCACTCTCCTTTAGCTTAGTCCTGTTGGAAACAAAGAATGCTTTGTCCTCTGTGCCTGGAGGTGCCTGTTCTGTTGTTGACTTGCAGTGAGACAAGGGTGAAAATAGTTTCCTTGCCCTGGAAACTCTCTTTTCCCCTCTTCTTTTCCACTGCCAGACCCTTCTTCCTGCTGCCAGCCTGCTTCAGCTCAATGGTGTGCGGGACGCTTGCTGCAAGTTCCTCCTCAGCCAGCTCGACCCTTCCAACTGCCTGGGGATCCGGGGTTTTGCTGACACGCACTCCTGCAGTGACCTCCTCAAGTCTGCGCACAAGTATGTCCTCCAACACTTCGTGGAGGTGTCCAAGACCGAGGAGTTCATGTTGCTGCCTCTTAAACAGGTGAGGTCCTGATGGGAGTGTGAAGGTCTGGGTATGGCGAGGCTTTTTGTGCTGTGTCCTGGAAGTCACGTGTCAAGAGCCCAAGGAACCTCCACTGAGGGGACAGGGTTTGGCAGGGGAATGTACCCAAAGTCTGGGCTTTGATCCTCTCTGTTCAGTGGAGGGACAGTCCATGGGAAGACTGCTGTTGGAAAGCGGCCTTAATCCCATGTGGAATAGGGATGGGGGGGTAGAATGGAGGATAATTGCTGTCACTGGTGCTTGCCACCTGAGCTCCGAGCGTTCTGCCCTCTCCCTGGGGGCACAGGCCAAGGAGCAAGTCCTGGCTGCCCTCTGATGTTTAATTCAGAGCTCAGCTAATGTTTCCTGCTGCAGCTCTTCATGTGGTGCTAGGGTGGCCCCTGGCTCATCCCTGCCTGCAGGGTGCTGTGCCGTGCCCAGCCGGCATTCCCAGTCCTTATTCTGCACCCCCTGACCCTCTATGGTCCCTCACCAGGATACAGAGACCTCCCTTCAGCCATCCCCGGGGCTGTGGGCTGTGTGGCAGCGAGGGGAGGCTACGTATCTCCACTTGCTCCCTCTTCATAGTCCTTGGCAAGTGAAGTGAGCGTGCTGGGAACAGCGAGGGCGCCTGGCTCCATCCCATGAAATATTGAAGGGACGCCTGCGAGCGGAGTCGTCCGCCCGATCTCGCTGATGCTGATTGGAAGTGTCAGGCATTGCAGCAGCTTCAGACACAGAAAGGGGGGGAAGGAGCCAAGGAGGATGATGGAGGGCAGAGCTGTCTCCACAGCAGAGCTGCAGGGAGAGCAGAGCCACAGCTGCATCCGCCCGGTTTGGGGGACCCGGCTGCCCTTTGGATCTTTCTGCATTCAGCAAGAGAGTAGTTCTACACCCCCCAGCCACCAGCATCTACAGGGGCTCTGCCTCTGCCAGTGCTGTTCTACTGGGCCACTTACGTGGGGGTGGGAATGTGTCCTTTCCTCCCAAACCATCCCAACCGACACTTGTCCTTTCTGCCCCGCTCTGCAGGTGCTGGACCTCATTTCTAGTGACAGCCTCAATGTGCCATCAGAGGAGGAGGTGTACCGGGCTGTGCTCAGCTGGGTCAAACATGATGTGGACAGCAGAAGACAGCATGTCCCCAGGGTGAGTCTGTTGGGGAAGGTGGCCTGATTCTACCCACCAGCTCTGAGTGCCTGCTTGGATGCAGACATGGCTGCAAGTTGGCCAGAGGACAGGGGCAGCAGGTCCTTCCATACCACTTCCACTCCAGGCAGAGATGAGGGTGTTGCTGAGAGAGTTCAGTCCAAAGTCAAGTCCAAACTGTTGACATAACCAAGGGGAATGCCCTGTCAGACCCCTGCAGCTTGGGCACGTTGAGGTCTGGGGAGGACGTGGGCAGCAGGAGAGGTCACCCTTGCCTGCAGACTCCTTGAGCTTTCATGTGCATCCTCAAACAAAAATCTCGAGCAAATTTGTGCAGGGATTTCTTTTAACTTACGCATTTTATCTCTCTGCATCTGAACCTTGGAGCATGGATCTGCGAGCCCCCTGCCTGCCAAAGGTGCAACTGGAGAAGACATGGTTAAGCCCTTTTCTTCGGGGCTGCCAGTGCTTGGCACAGCTTGGGCACCCTCTCATGGGTGCAGCCTCGCACTGCAGTAGAGGCTGTCAGTTCCTCCAGAAGCTTTGGCTTCATGTCATCCCACCACTTTCACGTTTCCAGGCAGGTGGGAGCAGTGAGAGGAAGCATCCCTAGATGTCTTCAGAGGAACCATCCCTAGGTGTCCTCCTGAAGGCTGGCGCAGGATGAGGAAGACTCTGCCTGAGGGTTTCTCCTGGGTTTCCACCTGCTCCAGGGCTTGACCCTAGAGAGGTTCTGTCTCCACCTTTGCTCTCAGACATCCCTCCTGTGGGCAGTGCAGGCAACACAAGGCATGTTGGACACAGAGCGGTGGTCCCTGGGCTCTGCAGTCCTGCAGTGAGGACTGTTCCTTGTATCATGAGTGCTGGAAGAGGGCGTGGGCAGGGGCAGGGGTGGGGATCTGGGGTGTCTGTGGGACGTGTCATGGCCAGGCTGAGGTCTCCTAGGTCTGCAGGAACTTTAAGGTTGAGTTGCTACCCTTTGTCATGGGGTGCCTGTCCTGCCAAGAGAGCAGGATGCCATCTCCAGGTGGAAGTCAGCCTTGACAGGGTCCCTGGGGACTTGTAGGGGAGATGTGTGGGGTGGCACTGGGAGGACCTCTGCCCACCCCGCTGACGGGACGCAGCTCCTCTGCCCCTCAGCTTATGAAGTGCGTGCGGCTGCCCCTGCTGAGCCGGGACTTCCTCATGAGCAACGTGGACACGGAGCTGCTGGTGAGGCACCACTCGGAGTGCAAGGACCTGCTGATCGAAGCCCTCAAGTACCACCTCATGCCGGAGCAGAGAGGGGTCCTCAGCAACAGCAGGACGAGGCCGCGGCGCTGCGAGGGGGCCAGCACTGTCCTCTTCGCTGTGGGTAAGGCCCCGCCATGTCCTCGTGTCCCCACAGACCCCTTCCCCGGAGGCCTTTGGACTCCTGTGTGCCCTGTTTGCCATCCTGTGTGCAGGTGGGGGGAGCCTGTTCGCCATCCATGGGGACTGCGAGGCCTACGACACGCGGACGGACCGGTGGCACATGGTGGCCTCCATGTCCACCCGAAGGGCCAGAGTGGGCGTTGCTGCCATCGGGAACAAGCTGTATGCCGTGGGCGGGTAAGACTTTGGGGGGGACCTAATCGATGCTACAAATACTTAAAGGGAGGGTGTCAGGAGGATGGGGCCAGTCTTTTTTCAGCGGTGCCCAGTGAAAGGACAAGAGGAAATGGGCACAAACTTGAACATAAGAAGTTCCACCTAAACATGAGGAGGAACTTCTTTACTGTGAGGGTGGCAGAGCCCTGGAAGAGGCTGCCCAGGGAGGTGGTGGAGTCTCCTTCTCTGGAGGCATGCAAAACCCACCTGGACACGTTCCTGTGCAACCTGCTCTGGGTAGACCCGCTCTTGTTGGGGGTTGGACAAGGTGATCTCCAGAGGTCCCTTCCAACCCCATGGGATTCTAAGGAGGACATGGAGCTGTGGTGGGGAGCTGGCAGGGATGCCATCAGCAGCCTCTGCACAGAGCTAGAGGTGAGAGGGCCACCTCTACCCCTCTGTTCGGGGTCCTCTGAGACCTGCTTTCCTCGCAGTCCCCCAGGAGTGCTCTGCTAAGGGCTCTGCACTTTCAGCAAGTGCTTTGGTGCCCTCTGCCTTGAGGAAGCTGGGCAAGGGGGAGACGAGAGGGGTGGTGACAGGGACCCAAGGCTCTTGGTCAGCTCCAGAGCTGTAGGACCAGCGCACAGCCTCACCTGCCATGAGCCTCACCTGTGACACCAGGCTTCCCAGCCCTCACACGTTCTCCCTTTTTCTCCCTACAGTTACGATGGGACCTCTGATCTGGCCACAGTGGAGTCCTATGATCCTGTCACCAATTCCTGGCAGCCGGAGGTGTCCATGGGCACCAGGAGGAGCTGCCTGGGTGTAGCAGCACTTCACGGGCTTCTCTATGCTGCTGGGGGGTACGATGGGGCCTCGTGCTTGAACAGGTAGGGGATTGCCTTGCTCCAGGCTCCTCCGCTGCTCTTGCATGCACTGTCCTTGGCGCTGGGCACCTGGGGAGCCCACAAAGCCTGCTCCTGACAGATGGACTGACCCCAGAGTAGATGTCTTGCAATCCAGCCCTGTCTGCCAGTGTCTTTGGCCCAGGCAATGTTTCTTCAGGGGAAACCCCCATTTTCTAGCCCTCTGCCACAACAGAACACAGCCTTTGTCAGTTCTTCCCTCTGTTTTCCCTGTCTATTCCCAAGCTTCCTTGGGAGCTGCCCCTGAGGGTCTGTGGCAAAGAGCTTTGACCTGGGCTTTGCCAGTGTCACACCTTATGTTCCTGTGTCCCTGCCTGCTGCAGCGCAGAGCGGTACGACCCTCTGACAGGCACCTGGACATCCATCGCTGCCATGAGCACCAGGAGACGCTACGTCCGGGTGGCAACGCTAGGTGGGTGATGGCATGAGGACCTGACTGGCTTCTGTGCAGACTGTCTCTTGCGTTTCTGATGGTTCCTTTTCATGTTTTTCTGTTCTGGTTCCTGCCCCTTCTTCCTAGATTCCCTGGCTGTGAATCTAGGTAGTCCAGCCATTCCTCTGCCATGTCCTGACATGCTCCCTGCCTCTGCCCTCTTCCTCGGTCTCCCTAGTAATTGGGTTTCATCACATTGTGGTGGCAACTCCTGAGGGGACCCACATCTCGTTCCTCAGCTCCTTTGTGCCCCTTCTACTTTGGAATAAGAGGGCTGGCTGTGCATGATCACCTCTCCCTAGAAAGGATGAGACAACCTTATTACACCTTCATTATAAAAGCAGGATAGTCCTTTTACTGATGATCCAAGCAGTAGTGTGGGGTCTAAACTGCCTCTCCCAGGGGTGTCACAACGTTAGATTCAATGCTGTGATGTCTCCTGACTCTCTTGCATGAATTCTGTCCTTAAGGAGGGTACAATGTGAGAATTGGCCACTTCATTGTTTAGTGCAGCTGTGGGGTGAATGCAAGTACCACTCTCCACCCCAGCAGATGCTGGACCTCCCTGGGGATGCCAGGGTAGTGCCCACCATCCCAAGATCTGCTGGTCGGTGTCCCCATGGTGCCTCTCCCCTGCCCTCTTCTCTGGTTTCAGCTCTGTGCTGACTCAGAGGTTCCCTCCCCTCCATCACCAGCTCATACTCTCTGCCCACCACAGCCTTTATTGGCGTTCCCCTGCTCCAGCCTCCGCTGCTAAAAATAAGCCGTTGCTCTGGCGGGGAGCACTTGCAGCTCCCACAACCAGGAGGTCAAGAAGGAGCTCTTTGGGAAGCTTGCAGCGTGGCAGAGAAATTGCCTGATGAATATTTCACGATGCTGCTTGCTGCACGGGGAGGGGGAGCTGGGGGAGCAGGAGGCACCACGGCTCAGCTGGTACCTACCTGGGCACCCTGTGCCAGCACTGGGGGAGGCTGTGCTGGGGCTGGGGCCACGCTCTTTAGCTAACTCCTGTGCCTGTGTGTGACTGTCTTTGCAGAAGGCAACCTCTATGCCGTTGGGGGATATGACAGCTCATCCCACTTAGCCACAGTAGAAAAGTATGAGCCCCAGGTAAATACGAGAGAGAGCGTGGCTGGTAACCCTTTTCCTTCTCCCCTCCTTATGGGTGCCTGCAAGGGCCCTGCAGAAAGCTGAGGGCCAGGCAAGTTGCTGGAGAACTTAGCAGAGAGGGAGAAAGCTCTTGTAGCCTCTTGCAAACCATTGTCATAGCTTAAGATGTGACTGCTTCCTAGCAAAATATTGCAGCAGCAGTGGAGCAGAAGGTGTGCCCACAGCAGCCTGTGCAGCACAGACCTCCCTGCCTCCTTGGAGACTTAAGCCACCATGCGTGGCTCTGAGATGGAGTGGGTGTCAGCCCCCTCCCCAGCTCTCCTGCAGGGACAGGGTGCAACCCAGAGCAAAATGAGCCAAAGCTCATCTGTATGGTCTCTGAGAGATCTCGTTGAGATTTTCAACCACCAGAACACTCCCTGTCCCCAGTGCCTGTAGGGCCAGCTCAGGTTCTGTGGGAAGAGCAGTTCTTGTTCATGCCCTGAGCTGTTTCCAGCTTCCAGCTGAGGTCCTCACTCTTCACACATCTAGAGCAGTGAGTGGGGATTGTGGCAGGCTGGGGACATGTTTTTGGCCTGGGGTTTCACAGCTCTGTTAAGAGCAGGCTGGATCACTGCAAAAAAAGATCAAAGAGAAGGTCCTGGAGGGTTTTCATGAGCTGTAAAGCCACAGTCGTGACTTGTGCAGATTTGAAATAGATACAGCTCAGCCCCCATGAGTGGGCTGGGATTCAGCTGTGACGTGGCTGGTGGCCTGGCACAGAGATCTCTCTGCTGAGGGATGGCAGGGCTCCTGCCAGCTGTGGCTGTGCCTTCCTGAGCCAGTCAGCAGAGGTCTCTCCTGGAGCCTGCAGCTCTTCCTGCGGGCGAGCTGAAGGGAAAGAACTGGGGTTCCCCCCAAAAAAGTCTTTCTGGGCAAGGGCAGTTACATCGGGAGGTGTGTGGTTAGAGCAGGACTAACATCACAGGCCTGGGGTGGCAGGGGCACATGGAAAATGAGTTGTACGTCTGTCTCAGGAGAAAACATTTCTTCTTCCCAGATCAACACCTGGACGCCCATTGCCAACATGCTGAGCCGGCGGAGCAGTGCAGGAGTGGCCGTGCTGGAGGGGATGCTCTATGTGGCTGGAGGCAACGATGGGACAAGCTGCCTTAACTCTGTGGAACGCTACAACCCCAAAACCAACACGTGGGAGAGCGTGGCACCCATGAACATCCGTAGGTAAGGAGCTCTGCCCGCCCTGCCACCCTCCTGAGCTGCAGGGGAGCCTCCGCTGCTGCAGTCAGGAATGGGGACCCCATCTCAGAGAGCCTTGCCTTGCTTGGGGCTGCAAACAGTCAAGAGGAGACCATGCCCCAGGGCCTGGCTGGCTCTATGCTGCTTCCACAAAAGCATGTCTTGCTCCCCGCTGCACTGTGTGGCCATAAAGAACCAGGTGGTGAGGCTGGCTGAGGCCACGGAGATGCTGCTGGGCTATGGGAGGATTTAAGGCTTGGAAGTCCAAGCTCCTAGGGGCTGTTATTTAGAGGTGGCACTTCTCGTATCACCCTGTACTCAGCATTGGTGAGGTCCCATCTTGAATAATGTGTCCAGTTTTGGACCCGTCACAACAGGAAAGACATTGAGATTCTGGATCAAATCCGGAGAAGGGCAATGGAGCTGGTGAGGGTCTGGAGCACAGGTCTTATGAGGAGCTGCTGAGGGAGCTGTGGGTGTTCAGCCTGGAGAAAAGGAGGCTGAGGGAGGGTGTAGATATCTGAGGGTCAATCTCTTCTCCCAAGGGACAAGCAATAGGACAAGAGGAAATGGCCTCAAGTTGCACCAGGGGAAGTTTAGATTGGATATTAGGAAAAATTTCTGCACCGAAAGGCTTATCAAACACTGGAGAAGGTTGCCCAGGGAAGTGGTGGAATCACCATCCCTGGAAGTATTTAAAAGACAGGTAGACATGGTGCTGAGGGACATGGTTTAGTGATGGTTTTTGTCAGTGTTGGGTTGATGGTTGGACTCAATGATCTTAAAGGTCCCTTCCAACCCAGACAATTCTATGATTCTCCAGTGGGAGGAGGGTGTCAGAGTGAAGGGGAAGATCTGAGGCTCTGTGCTGCGCTCTGCCACTGACTGAGCCCCAGTAATTAATTTTCTCTGGGTACCTGTGAGGCTGAGCACTCCCTTTTCTGGGGTAGTAGATCTCTGGCCAGTTCATCTGACCTACTGAATTCCCCTACACCCCACATAGACCGTGTCTGAGCCTCACACCCCGGTGGTCTCTGCCTGGTTGTTGCAGGAGCACCCACGACCTGGTGGCCATGGACGGGTGGCTGTACGCAGTGGGTGGCAACGATGGGAGCTCCAGCCTGAACTCCATCGAGAAGTACAACCCCCGTACCAACAAGTGGGTGGCAGCCTCCTGCATGTTCACGCGCCGGAGCAGCGTAGGGGTGGCCGTGCTGGAACTCCTCAACTTCCCACCCCCTTCCTCGCCCACCCTGTCGGTGTCTTCGACGAGTCTTTGACAAAGAATCAGGACCTACCTTACCTCAAGGGGACAGGGGTGCCTGGAGGAGCTCTAGGCCAGCGTGGCCGGCCCCGCGGGGCAGCCGGTCGCTGTAGGAGGAGAACGAAGGTACCGGCTGCTGCCTCCAGCCCCCAGCAACTCCTGTGAACCCCCGGAGCCATCCCCACTCTTGGTGCACACATCGGATCAGCACGACCACAGCAGTTAGAAATGTGCTTCCTGGACGAGCGCCCACCTTCTAGAGGACGAGGAAGAGGGGGTGCTCTCTGCTCCGTTCAGACCCATCTCACCACTCACCCAAAGGGCGTATATATTTATTTTTTTTTCTTTGGGGAGGGGAACCTTTAAATCATTGCTGCTTCTTGGATTCACGTGATCCAGCCGGTGCCACACGTATGAGCACAGCCAGCCTTTGGAGGCTTCCAGGAGTCCTGTGGGGTGGCAGAGGTGGACGAGCACCTTCTCCCAAGGACGCGGCTGAATGTGCAACTGCTCCTCTGAATGTCACTGTAGCCAGACTCTTTACCAAGCCTATTGTGCACTGTTAAAGACTCTGAGGCCGCTGTATGGTTCTCAATGGTGTCTAATTGATGCCTTAAAACACACAAGCAGAAGAAGCCCAGCTAAGGGACAGGGTCTGGAGGGGGTGAGCTTCGGAGATAAAACTGGACGCAGCATCCTGGACCCTCCGTACTCAGCCGGTCCCACCTCATCCACTGGGATCCCAGTGACCGTTGCTCTGGGTGGTCCCCAGCTGGGCAGATGGGTTGGGTGACCTTGGTTGCATCGCTGCCATTGCTGTCCCGGGTTCCAGCCACCCTGAGGCTGCCTGCTCTCTGCTCCTGGTCCCGGGAGGCAGTTGGGCTGGGGTCGGATCGGCCTGTTTGCTGTTCCCCTCTCTGCAAAGCAGATTCTGGGTTTATGGAAAGGTATCGGTTCTTAAAAGAAGAACAGTCCAGCCTTCTAAATGAGGAGGATTGCCTGGCATTACTTTTTTGGTTGATAATTTTTTGCCCTTTTTTTTTTTTTATTTGGATGCTAATATTTTAATTTTTAATGACTTCACATCCCTTTATTTTTTACACTATCCTGGTATTCCCCACCCCATCTGCTTTTAAGGCAGCAGGAGGGAAGCAATTACTTTCCTTATTTGTTGCTGAGATGATGACTGTGTCCTGGAAGACGTTCTCTACAGAGGTGTGGGTGTGTGTGCGTGTGCGAGATACCGTATGGACAGTGAAAACAGCATTGAAGGGACCATTTGCAATTAGCGTCTCCCTGGCAATTAAGCAACCACTCTAATTAACTAAAGGTTGAATCAATTAGTACTGTAAGTCACGGGCCTGTCCTAGACCCACCTGTGCCATGGCACCTCTTGGGTGGCGTATGCTGTAGGGTGTGTGTGTGTGAGCCTTGAACTGAGACGTATTATCAGGTGTTCTCTCCATTACAGAGGAATGACTCAACCGCTGGTACCTCAACACTGTTCAAATGTAGCATTGGAAATATGGCCTAACTCTTTGTTTTGAACTAATTCCTTTAACTTTTTTTTTTTTTTTTTTCCCCCCTGCTCCTTCTCATTTCTCATTTCCAGAGTTCAGATTTCACTTGTGGTGGTATTTGTTGGTCCAAATGTTCAAGGGGATAGAGATTTCTTCTTTTTTTTTTCCTTTGGGGTGAAAGGAGAGTTTGAGATGAGATAGAGACTCCGCAACTTTAAGACAATTTTTACGGCGATCTGATTTCTCCTGGGCAGGTGCCTGCATGTTTTACCAGCCTACTTACAGTGCCTAACGATGGACACCCGAAATTACCAGCAGCTTCAGAAAATCTGGGCTGCTTCTCCCCCCAGCCACTTCCCAAGGGCAGTCTGGGCTTCTCGGGCTGAGGAGGCCTTTTTTGGCTTTCAGAACAGACTCTAAATCTGCTTTTCATTCCCCTCTTGCTCGCCGAGCCTGTCACAGCTCGGCGGCTCTCCCATTCCTCTGTATTGCAGGGGACCCTGCAGAGCTCCAGGCCGTGGACCTGCAGGTTGCCTCTTGGTCGACGTGGCAGTAGGGCTGCCCCTAAGTAGGTGACATCAATCTGTTTTGTTTGAAATAACGATGAAATCGGTGAAGTCCGCCCTGTTGCGTGTGTGTGCCTACGCGTGAGCGAGCTCTCAATCCTTTTCTTCCCATTCCTACAAGCAACATCAGGATTTTAGTCTTCTGCTGGACTCGTATCGACCGGCACCTTCCAGGTGCCCCCCTGGCTCTAGGGTCATTTTTTTGGGAAGGAGGATCATCCTAAAAGCCCCATGGCCCTGTCAGAAGTGAAAAGTGCTGGTGCTGGGGGAGAAATGGGGCTGGTTTTGAGTGAGGAATGAGTCGTTAGAGCCGTGGTTCAGCATCTGGTCCAGCTGTAGCATGAAGGGGGGGCTGCTGCCTTGGGGGGGGCAGCAGGCAGGCGAAACCAGAGGGGAAGCGAGCAGTGTAGCAGGCTGAGGAGAACTTTTTGCGCCATATCCCCTTGGCCCCAGTTGTGATCTTTAAGCAATTTACCCTCCGAACGGGCACGCGATGCTGTCCTGCCTCTTGGGGGTGAGGGAAAGGGGCAGTGTGACTCCTGTCACCCACCCGTTGGGTCCCCAGCAATATCACCACTCAGCCTGTTCCCTCAGAAACCCCGGGAGGAGGGAGCCTTTCGTGTCTCCGATGTACTAACTATGCAGGTGCTCACTGCTTTCCTGGAAAAAAACAAACAAAAAAAAAAAAAAAAAGAAAAGAAGGAAGGAAAGGGCAAAATGGTTCCCCGGCAGCTTGCGGGGGTCCGGAGCACCCCGACCCACACTGTGTGGACACGAGGTGTCAGCATCTGCCCTGGGAGGTCCCAGGGTGGACATTGCTTCTGGTGCTGCACATCCCTCACCCAGCCCCGAGGCCTGGGAGGGGACGTGTGTCTGTGTCTGTCTGTCTGTGCGTAGTACCCTATCTGAGGGGAGGAGAACTGTCAACTGTTGTGTGGCTTCTCTGCCAGTCTTAGTTAGTGCCGTCTCACCCAAAATGTTAGCTGTGCAATTTTTTTATTTTATTTTTGTTTTTTCCCCCCCATGTGAGCTTTTCCCAGCGGAGGAGCATCCCTGCACGGGGTGGCTCCGGGCTGTGTGTGTTGATGTGTTTTGCCCAGGGACCCCGGTGTCGGTCTGCGGTGAGATGGTGAGACCAGGCAGGAGCCTTTGCCCCGATGTCGGGGGAGAGGTTCCCTTACTGGTTCCCTACCTGCCTTACTGGTAGGCAGACCCGGTCTACTCCATGTCAAACCGTCGTCACTTTGATTTCTCTGTAAGTTATCTGACTTATTTATGTGGAACTCCGTTTCTCTGAATTTTTTGCACTACGTGGGATGGGGAGGGGATACGAGCAATAGAAGCAAACATGTACAATAAAGACCTTTTCTTGAATACCGGATCCTGCCTCCTGCATCCTTCCTTTTCACTTCTCTGGCCCCGTTCCTGCGGAGGCTGGGAGCTGCTCTCTGCCTTGCCCTGTGCAGAGGAGGGAAAGGAGCCCCAGGCAGAGGACGCTGTGCATCTGAGCCTGAGCAACCTCCGGTGAGATCTCATCTGCTTGGGTTTAGCCATTCTGGGCTTCGAGGCGTTTGCACAGAGCAGGTACCTCTCTGGAGGACACTTCGGACTGACCCTTCCGCTGTGGACATCAGCAGAGGAGCCAAAGCCAGCTTTGAAGGAATGGCTGTACCAGAGGTGAGCTAAAAGGAGAAGCTTTTAGCTCGGATCTCAGCCTGGGATGTTGATGTCCTGTGGCCAAGGTGCTTTGTATTCCCAGAGAGGGTGCTGGGGCTCTATGTGCCTTCACCCTGCCTCAGAGAAGGAGCAGGGTAAAGATGATACTGGTGTTGGAGACGGGTGGGAAAAGCCCAGCCCGAGGCACAGGGGCTTTAGGGGCAGACTAATCTACACCCCTCCCCGCTGCTAAATTCTAGTTTGCTCTCCCTAGGACCCCCCATCTCCAGTGCTGTCTACAGCTTTCCCCTGCAGTGGAGATGAAAACCAGATGGGAAACATCCTCCTTTACCTCCAGCTGCTACATGCTTCTTGTCGGGGGGGCAGGAACTGCGACGGGGCGGGGAGGGTAGGGGGGACAGATGTAGCTGCACCAAATCAGATCCGCTTTCACGAGCTGCTGCTGGTCACTGCTGCCTTGTGTGTGGGGAAATACTAAGCCCATTTCACGGTGGTGGGGGTGAGCAGAGCCAGGAGAGGCTGCATGGCAACGTCCCGTGGGGCCCCAAAGGGAACTTTCCCATGCGTGCGATGCTGTACAGCCGTCACCCCGCCGTGTCCTCCCTCTGGCTGCTCTCTAGGCTCTTGCTTCTGTTTCGGGCTTCTATAAATAACTCCCCTCCTGTAAAAGTCTTTCCAAAAAGTCTGGAGCCCTAACTGCTTCCCCACCCAGTCCAGGCCCTCCTGGGGGGCTCCGGAGAGTAATTTCTCCAGCAAATCCATGTCCCCAGCACGTGGAGAGAGGGACCTGTCCTCTCACACCCAGCCCTGCCAGCCGGGGTGGTGTCACTGGTGTCCCCAGTGAGCAAGACGATGGATTTTTGCAGGACCTGCCATAACAGCAGGAGCGAGGCAGTTAAATCACTATTTTGAGCTCATTTAGAGCAAACACGTTGGAGGAGCGGCACGGTTCTGGTCCCAGCGCTGACCGTGTTAGCCACGGATCTTAAGAGGAATCTTATTTTTCCTGAAAAAAACCCAGTTGTTGCTGTTCCCTGTTAAGTGTTGGTCTCTGCCAGGAGGTGCTGGGAGGTGGCTTTGCTGTGGGATGGTTGTTTCACAGCTGTTTCACACAGAGAACAGAGCTCCAGGAGCACCCTGCCGGAAAAATCATGGAGTTTCTGATGGGGGCCCTCCGGAGGGGTGTCCTCTTGCTTCGCTTGGCCGTGAAGGGTTAATGGCTTCTAGGACAGAAAGGGGAGGGGGATAAAGAGGCTGTTTTTAAAGGTCAAAGATGTAGAAGCCTTTGTGAAACTTTATGGCATGTTCGTTATCAGCAACGCTCTGTTGCCTGACTGTACAATTGCCGCTTAAGGGATATGTTGGTTTTGTTACCGCAGGGTGACTTCAGTTCCAAGACAAGGCAGATGCAAGTAGAAAGTCTAACACATCCAGTATGTCCAGAAGAGCTCACATAAAACCACCCAGTTTCATTCAAACAGACTTTTTTTTAGGAAAACATCCTCTCCTGTTTTTAAAAATCCCTTGTTGAAGAAGCCATCACGATGGGAGTTTTCTGGTAAGAAATAACCTTTCCTGTTAAAAACACATCTTGCTCCTGGGTTCAACCTCTCCAGCCTCCCGTTCTCTGCATCTCTTCTTGTCACCTCGCTGCCAGCTGGTTGTCACAGGTCTGTTCCCCAGGCAGGAGTTTCGGTTGTCACAGGTCTGTTCCCCAGGCAGGAGCTTCCAGCTTCACTGCATCCCCGTGGCATCTTTGCTACCGTAGCAAGATGGAGCTGCTGGGCTGTCACTGGAAAGGGTCTGGAGACACAACCTGCTCCCCGGAGCAGACAGCAGAAATCCTCTTCCCAAAAAGCAGTCAGTCCCAGTTCACAGCTGGGATTGCCTTTCCCTGCCGGGCCAGTCTATAACTGATGGGTCTGTTCCCCAGGCAGGAGCTTCCAGCTTCACTGCATCCCCGTGGCATCTTTGCTACCGTAGCAAGATGGAGCTGCTGGGCTGTCACTGGAAAGGGTCTGGAGACACAACCTGCTCCCCGGAGCAGACAGCAGAAATCCTCTTCCCAAAAAGCAGTCAGTCCCAGTTCAGAGCTGGGATTGCCTCTCCCTGCCGGGCCAGTCTATAACTGATGGATGGATCTTACACTCTCTGCAGTGTTTCAGAGTCTTACCAGAAAGTTGTGTAACCATGTCACATCACAGGCTTTATAGTCATTTCACAGAGCAGCACTATTATTTACATTAACTAAATCTGATTTTTTTTTTTTTTTCCAAATGTGGTAGCGATTAAATTAGTTTGGCAAGATCTAATTTCCACAACCCTGAGTTGATTTATATTAATTATACTCTCCTCCTTTAATTCTCAAAGTTAATCAAACTCCCTAACAGCTGTTAACATCATTTTCCTAGGAATCGGTGTCAACTGACAAACCCATAATTACCTCTGGTCTATGGTCTTTTTTACCCATGGAAATCCCCATTAATTTATACAAGTTCTTTGCAAATTCCATGGTCCTGCAAGACTTAACTGCAAATGAACAGCAGCGACCCAAGACTTTTGTTGTTCAAGTTCTTGGATATGAATTCTCTGGACCTTCCGATCCCAAGCATCAAAGTTTTGGGTTTGCTTTCGAGCAGCCGCCGGCAGTACCATGAAATGAAAAGGGTCTGGCATCTCCTGTGACTGGACTGACTGGTTTTTTTCAATCCCCAGAACAGAAATATTTATTCTGCATCTACCTTTTGTATTATCATCAGCTGCTCACTATTATTATTTCTGTTTCCACGCAGTAGGGGACTTATACCATGGTCAGGAATCTTTGTTTTCCTTCCTTTTAAAGCATTTCTTCTATAAATATCCCTTTAGTTCTGCTGATCGTACACAACTCCTTTTAGGCTTTGCTTCCTTTATCAATTTTCCGTAATTCCTAGATTTTGGTATATACTAGCTTTCCCCCACTTATTTATTTGTTTATTGTATTTTTATGCTGTCTGTTTCTCTTCACCTCTAATCCAGGCTGGTCCGTTTTGATTGATCCAGCTGTTCTGAGCGCAGCCTTTGGAACACCTGGGACAAGGCTTAAATGATAATCACCAATATTATCTCTCTGCGTCCTGTTTTCTCCGGGCTGAACTGAATAACGATTGGTTTCCTTTTGGGGAAAAAAAACCCAATCCAAACCCAACCCAACCTGGCTCCAGCTGCCTTTATTCTGCTCTCTGGCTTCATCCTGTTTGTTGGTAAGAAAAGTTTGTGCGCCGCGGCCGCTCGCTGCGTCTGAGCACCGCTGGGGTGTTAATTTGGGGTTCTTAATTACAAGGGAAATGAGGTCTGAGACCGGATTCAAGACACTGCCCATAGACCTTGAGGGCACCGGTCTGTTAACTGAGACATCCCCCAGCTCGGGATGCCATTAATGAGATCGGGTAAGGAGAGAGGCTCTCGAGGGGGTGGCCCAGGACCCCGTAGCTCCCCCGGGGATCCCTCCTTCCTACCCGGGGGGATGCCCTGGTGGGCAGAGGCTGCTGCCCTGCCTGCTCTGCCCTGCCTGCCCTGCCTGCACCCTGCGGGGACCGCTGCCGCTCACCTGGCTCACCCCTCGAGAGGGAGCAGGAGGAGGAGAAGGGGCAGGAGAAGAAGGGGCAGGAGGAGGAGGAGGAGGAGGAGGAGGAGAAGAAGAAGGGAAGGTCGGGCCGAAAACCTCCCACAGCCCACACCCACCCGAGTCACGGCGGCGGAAGGGGAGCGTCTCCGTGACACACACACACTCACACACACAAACCTCCCCGCGGCTCCCGGGCGCTTCCAGTCGCTGCCGGCATGGGGAACATAGCTTGTGTTCCTCAGGCACCTGGGAGGCTCAGAAACTCTTTCAGAAGGAAGCCTTCTCTGAAGAAAGAGTAAGTAACACTCGCTTTTCCTTTGGACTGCTTTTCCAGCGGGGCTGGATTTTCCCCCCCGTGCGATGCACCACCCAGAACGGGGCTGGCAGCCGAGCCCCCGCTTGGGAAACCCAGGAGTTATTTATGTGCTCAGCAGATTTTGGGCTTTTGCATGGGTTTTTGCGGGGTGCTGGGCAGTGCCGAACGCGATCAGCTCCCCACGAGTGCCTGGGGAAGGAATCCTAGATCTCTGCTGGCGGAGTATCCCTTGCCACGCTCCCCCCAGGAGTAACGCGATTTATTCCATTTCACTTTAAAAATTAAAACTCCTTTCTGTGGGACAGGCAGGGCAAGGTGCAGAATGCCCTGACACTCCTTCTTTTCACCTGCCACTTTTTTTTTTTTTCATTGGCGGCGCCCGGAGTTGCGGTGCTGTGTTGGGAAAAAACAACATTCACCCTCCCCTCCGAGAGAGAAACCCCAAATCCCAACACTCTGCCCGCTACGGTGTGACCTGCCTTTGTAACCCTGAAAGGAAGAGCCAAGAGAAAATGTCTGTAAAATCCTCTGGGCACTTTTTGCTGGGGTGGCCAGGGCAGCCTTCAGGTAGCCCAGTGATGGACGGCTGTCCCAAAATAGGACCCTGTGCCCTGCCTTTCCCACTGTGACAGTGCAGTCACGGTGCTGCTGCCAGTCCCTAAGCACCCACAACACGGAGCAATCCCTGTCCTGAGCGCTCTGGGATGGAAAGGAGCTCTCTTGGGAACCAGGGTGGTTCCACACAAACCCCTACCTGCTGGGCTTTGCAACAAACCCCATAAATTCTGCTCGGCTGGGGGGTTTCTAATCCAGAGGAGACACTTGGCATGGTCCCCCTGGTCTCCTGTGCTGCCATAAATTGGGAGCAAAACCCTAGTAGTCTGTGGAGCTCCCGTGGGGTAAAAGAGAGGGGATCAGGTGGAGAATTTGGACCCCAGAGGGCTGGCATCAGGTAAATGCAGGGGAGCAGCCAAACCCCAGAGCACCTCCTTGTCCCCGCTGACTCCTGGCTTCCCAAGCTCCTGACTCTCTGTGGAGATAAGGCTGGTTTCTGCCAAACTGAAGGCTGCAACCTGGTTGAACGAGTGAGGAACTGCTGGGAAATCCCAACAGAGCAGTCCCAGCGCTGCTTAAATGGCACCAGTAACTGCTCCTTGGTGGCGTGCAGGCAAGGAGAAGCTGGGGGCCTTGCTGGGAGTGGAAGGAAAGAGAAGAGGAAAACCACAAAGTTAGAAACAAAACCTGTTTGTGAATATACGTTGCGTACGTGTACATATGCATCGCCATTCCAGAGGCTTTGGAAGAGTTGTCAGGGCTGGATTTGGTCTTTGTGTTTTGCAATGGAACATCTGGTCCCTCTGCTGGTTTGGAGACACAGATGAGCCTAGCTGATCCTTTGGTTATGCAAAGGCATGTAAAAAAGCAAAGAAACACCAACAAGTGCAGCACAAACCCCATTACAATTCTCCCAGGCTGTTTATCAGCCCTTTGCTGGGCTGGGATGATTAGAAAGCCCATGACAAATTGCTTACTTAGCTTTCTGGCTTCCTTATTTCTGGGCAGAAGTCACTGCCTCGGTCTAGATCTGTGTTTGCATGTGTGTTTTTGTTTTTTTTTTTTTCTCCCCTCTGTAGACAAAATGGCAAGAAAAAGCTGCCCAGCATTTTTGGTATTGAAGGAGGGAAGGAGAGAGAGACGACCACAGACAAAATCCTGCAGTATATTCCGGGAACGGCAAGTATAAACACATCCAACCCCTTTCCCCACGGCTCCCAGAGATTATTCCCACCCACCCCAAGGACATAAGAGGAACGATGGGTCTGGATCTGGAGGTAGCAGCAGGTCTGTCTCAAGGAGATGGTGGTCACATCCCAGGAAGGAATGAGCCCCGTGCCCTTCGCCGCGCTCCGGGGTCCCCATGGGGGTGTCGAGGGGACCTGCCATCAGCCAAAATGTGTGATGGGGTTGGGGGGGGGGGGTGTCACACTGAGAACGAAGCAGGCAGGATGGGGGGAATATCTCACCCAGCCCTTTGCTCTTTGGTTCTTTTGTTTCTGGGCAAGCTGGGAAGGAAAATGAGAGCAAGAGGAGCATTTGAAGGTAGGATGATTCATTCCCACGCTGGAATGAGACGGGGCAGGCAGCCTGTTAGCAACGAGCCTTGGGAAGGTAATCAGGAAGGGCAGGTCTGTCCCAGGCACGTACCAGCCTTGTGGCCATATGGCCCGTTTCCCAGCACCGCTCAGGGAAAGCGGAGGTGAAACATCCAACGCTGAGCCCCAGTAGGTTTGCTCGGTCCCTTTGGGTGGGCCAGGGCTGTGGAGCGAGCCTGGGGGCTTGCTGGGCTGTCCTGTGCATCCATCTGCCCCACTGCAGGGCAAATAGGCTATGTGGGTATGTGGGAAGGGGAAACTGAGGCAGAGACTTGCAGCTAGACAGCAGAAGGTTATCTCTTGGGTTTTGAGCTGCTGGCTGGGTGTATTTCCCTGGCCATGGGGTGCTTGTCAAGGGCTTGGTGTCTTGCAGGACCCCGTTCTGAGCAGCCCTGCTCATGCACTTTGGGGTGCTGCAGACATTTAAACACCTGCTCCCCACAAGCAGGGACCCTGCAGTCCCTTTCTATTCACTTCTCCCAGGTTGGCCCTTTCCAACCCAAAGGGCCTTTGTTTTTTCTCTTGTGAGCCCAAGAAGGGAGCAGGGCTGGGATCCTACTCCTGCCTTGTGAGGTGCCCATGGGTGAGTGCCATCTTCTCTCTTGGAAAACGTATCCTGAACTGCACACGGGTGGGAAGAAGAGCAGAACTGGGGCTGTTTCAGAGTCCTGCCTGTTATTTGTGAATGAGAGTAATGGGCACGTCCCTGCGGTTATCAGGGTGACATCCAAAAGGGTTGGGCAGCGTTTGACGGGACCAGGTCCCCGAAGGGAAGCAGGGAGAGCTGTCACGTTAGCGGATCCTGGAAAAGGAATCCTCCAAGCTGACAGAACAAAGGTCAGGGGGAGATTATTCACTGAGGAGCTCAAGCGGGTGCGGGATCTCTTCGGGGAAGGGAGGAGGGTGGAGCGGTTGTTTGGATGTTACCCTCGCCTGGGGCAGATGGGATCCAAACTCCCTGCTCAGCCGCAAGCTTCTTGTGTGGCCTGGAGGAAACCTTGTCTGAACCCCTTTCCCACTCCCATCTTTTCAGGAGAAACACCTCTGAGAGCGGGCGGCCATCAGCTGCTGCGGGGCCAGGTTAGAGAGGAGCCATCAGCATGGGACTCTTCCCATGCAGTCTCAGAGGAGATGGGGTCTCCAAACCTCTGGCCACGGCAGGGGGTTTGGGACTGGGGCGAGTGACATCCCTGAAAAGCATGTCCCCTCTGGACCCAGCTGGCACACAAAGCCAGTGCCTTCTGCCCTGGTTCTCACGCTTCCCAGTTACGGCTCCTGCGAAGCCTGAGCAGAAGAGAGGGGGGAGGATGTGGCAGGAGAGCAGAGCTCCTCATTTGCTTCTTTTATCATTAAACAGCAGCTTTCGGAGCCCCAGGGCACCAGCCTGGAAAGGCTGAGCTCTTCCTGCTGCCAGGGTTCGTGATTCAGCTGGGAGTCACTGGGGTCTGCAGGGGCTGAGGAGGGTTAATTATTAACCTGCTCTACCTGTAGGATGAGGCATCCCAGACACAGGAAGAGTGAGAGAACATGTCAGGGCACTTGCGCTGCCAGAGACCCGCTGCTTCCCCAAACCCTGAGAGAAACCAGGTTTCCAAGGATTGGGACTGCCTCAGAGCCGGCGGGATGGCCCGGCTAACGGGGACGGGGCTCGTCAGGATGGGGCTGGGGGAGGATGGTGCTTGCCACCAGCCTGGTCCAGCCCGGGGAGCAGACAGCTGCCTGGGGAGGACTTCAGAGGAATGAGAAATGCTAGTTCCCTTTCATTTTGGCTGCACGCTCAGGCATCCCCATGGTCTCGAGGGGAGCATGGGCCAAGGGGATGAGTGATGCTCATGGAGGAGGCTGTGACAGCTCAGGTCCCCGAGCCTGACAGGACATTATGGGGTTCCCAGTGCTGCTTTTTGGGGGATGGCCAGGCACAGGCCATGCTGGTGGCTATAAACCTGTCCCAGAGAGGGCAGGGATGCACTTGTGGGGCTGAGCTCAGATTCGGCAGGAGCTGTTTTTCCCAGAACTTGGGAAACTGCTGTTGTACCTGGACAGGGGATGGGGTGTTTGTAGGAACCACCATCAACCGTACAAAGGGGTTTTGCTCCCAGTGAGAAAGCCTGAGCTTTCAGCCTCCTCCTGCAAGTGAGGGACAAAGAAACCCTAGAAATGGTTTCTGAAGGGAGAAATCTGAAGGGGCTACAGGAGAGCTGGGGAGGGACTCCTTGTCAGGGAGTGCAGTGACAGGACAAGGGGTAAGGGTTTTAAATGGGAAGAGGGGAGATTTAGATGAGATACCAGAGAGAAATTCTTTGCTGTGAGGGTGGTGAGAGCCTGGCCCAGGTTGGCCAGAGAAGCTGTGGCTGCCCCATCCCTGGAGGGGTTCAAGGCCAGGCTGGAGGGGGCTTGGAGCAACCTGGTCTGGTGGGAGGTGTCCCTGCCCAGGGCAGGGTGGGTGGAACTGGATGATCTTTAAGGTCCCTTCCAACTCTAACCATTCTGTGATTCTATGACCCTTCCACCTGCAAAGCTTGGGGTTCCTTCCAGGGCCTCCCTGAATTTAGGTAACTCTTTTTCGGACACCAATTAACCCCTTCTCTGCCCAAAGCCTCCCTCCAGCCAGTCCAGCCCGCTCCATGCAGCACGGAACCCAGGTCCTCCCCTGGGGGTGGCAACCTGCTGGTTGCCAATTAATGGTCTCACTGAGGAGCAATTAAGCATAGGAAAAGATTATGTTTCTGCTACAAGCCGCTGTCAGGAACAAAGAGCAACTGATCAGCTGACAGCCGTGGCAGCAATAACAACACACTGCTCAGGTGAGGGAGGGAGGGGAGAGGATGAAGCAATGAAATTAGGGACACAGCGATAAGCAGCAGCACCGGCTACCAGCTGCCTGGGCGATGCTGTGCCTGGAACGTAGCAGCCAAATTCCCCAGTAATAAAGAAAGCCCCAAGAAGCAAAAGCAATCTGGGAGCTGGGCATCCAGCAGTGCTTTTGGCAAAGAGCTCAGCCAACCCGGCAGCATCCACAGGGCTCGGGAGGGAAAGGGAGAGATGGGGCAGCCACAGCTTCTCTGGGCAAGCTGGGACCTGACAACAGAACCTGTTACTGGCTCATAGAATCACACAATCACAGGATGGTGGGGATTGGAAGGGACCTCTGGAGATCACCCAGTCCGACCCCCTGCCAAAGCAGGGTCACCCGGAGCAGGTTGGACAGGAACGTGTCCAGGCAGGGTTTGAAATGTCTCTAGAGAAGGAGACTCCACACCCTCTCTGAGCAGCCTCTTCCAGGGCTGTGGCATCCTCAAAGTAAAGAGGTTTTTTCTCATGATGAGGTGGAATTTCCCATGTTCCAGTTTGTGCCTGTTGCCCCTTGTCCTGTCACCGGGCACCAATGAGAAGACCCTGGCCCCATCCTCTTGCCACCCATCTTTTAGATATTGATGAGCATTGATGAGATCCCCCCTCAGCCTTCTCCTCTCCAGGCTGAACACCCCCAGGTCCCTCAGCCTTTCCTCCTCAGAGAGATGCTCCAGTCCCCTGAGCATCTTCGTAGCTCTTCACTGGACTCCCTCCAGCAGTTCCTTGTCTTTCTTGAACTGGTCCACCAGTTCAGCTCTGGCCTGAGCGCTGCTGATGTGATGTCCCCGCCGTGGTTAGGAGGGGGGTTAATCTCATGCCGGAGGGGTGAGTCAGGGAGGCCCCAGCAGGACAGATCTGGTTAGCTCTGCTGGCTCTTCATTTATCACGGGGCTCAGGCAGCTGTCCCCTTGGCACGGGGCGCTGGGAGCGGGCACACGCCGGCCAGACAGGTTGGGTGCTGGGGAAGCACTGCCTGCTCCATCCCTGCTGAGCCCTGCTCGTTCCTGGAAATGCTGTTTGGACAGAAGCATACAAAGCCCCGGGGAGCCACCACGACACCCTGCCTCCCAGTCCCAGCCATGGCCTCGCTGGAAGTGTCCCCCAAGGAAACACAGCCACCAGTATTCGGAGTGGGGTCTCCCACCATGGTGGCCACAGTCTGGTGACTGAGAAGCAGGACAACCTTGCCTCTCCCACCTACAATTCTCTTTATCTTGGGAATGAACATCCCAGAGTCTACATCTAACAAAGCTGATATTTAAGACTCAAATATGCAAGTAGGATGTAGACCTGGGGGGGGGGTCAGCAATGTCCGTGGCTTCGTGGGGATACAGCCCTTCCCATCTCCCTGAGGAAATCAACCAACCCCCAGAAATAGAAGTGTTCTGCCCAGAGAAACTGCAGGGAGAGCTTTTCAACCCTGGGATTTCTGCTGTATCCGGACAGCGGGGCAGCAGCCCAGGGCTGTGAGCAGTGGAGGGCTCCCAGGGTGTGGGTTCGTGCCACCGCTCAGAAGGAAGAATTTCTGTGTAACCAGAACGCAGGAAAAAAGGGCAACAACCCCCAGCCCTGAATATTATCTCCTCCTCTCATCAGCCCTTGCTCTCCTGCAGTGCTTGCTGGCTTCCCGTAGCTTTTTGCCCTGACAACGAGCAGCTTCATGACTCAGTTCCTTGCAGCTGATTTTATGGCTGTGGGACTCTACGTCAAAAGCATCTGGGCACCTGAAAACAAAACTCCACCTAGAGAAACCGGGGTTTCCGAGCAGATGGCAGAGCTGAGGAATCCAGGTGGAACTAGAGCAAAGAAAACCTTTCCACTAACCCCAGCAGAAGGCAGGCTGTGTTTGCTTAGCCTTGATCAGTCCTCGTTCCAGTGAATCTCATTAGGGTGGCAGGAAGTCGTCTGTGGAGTTGGGCAACCCAAAATGTAGGATGTTCTTCTGCACCCCCTCTTCCCCAACCCAGAAAACCTCCCTTTAGGTCCATATCTTCCCCTGCCCAGGAAGGACAACCTCCCAGCAGTAACCAAACCCCAGCTCCACGCTGGCATGGAGACCCAACAACCAACAGCCCGGCTGGGGCATCTCCACAGGGTGCCTTTCTGAGGAAGCCCCTCTGGAAACATCTCCTCCAGACATCAGGCACCCACCTTCCGCCAGCTCTGATTTGTTTTTTCTGAATCTTTGGTACAGAGTATTCAAAACCAGGAAAACCAGAAAGAAAACTTCGACCAGAGGTTCCCCAGCCTGTTCAAGAAGGGCCGAAGGAAAACAGTTGTCAGGAATCTGGACAAAATGATCCATTACTCCAAAGTCAAGTTTAAGTTCCAGCACTGCCAGGTAAGATGTGGCACCTGTGTGTGGGCGTTTCTCTTCCCGGGCACGGAGTGACCCTGCAGGACTGGGAAATAGAGCATAATTCTGGGAAACATGACTCATGGAGATTTCCTTAGGCTACTGTGTAGCCCCAGGACTTCTGCTGCCACACAGTGTGTGGGTACCTGCTGGCACTCACTGACTCCCATCCCAGTGAGGACCTGGGCTGTGTCTCCATGTTCAGCTGCTGGGATGGCAGCAGATCCACCAGCAGAGATGTGGTGGTGGCCCTTGGATGAGCGACTGCTGGCTTTTCTGTGCCCAGCCCAGTCTGAGAGGCAGAGGGAAGCTGGGAGGAGGAAGGTGTCCTGAGATAAACCCCAAAACGTGTCTTTTCTGCAGGAGGTGAAAGACTGCTTCTTGGAGCTGTTCCAGTCGTACCTGTACTTCCAGTCTATGGGCTCCCACGGACTCACCTACCGGGTAGGGCATCTCCTGGCCATGTCGGGGCAAGCACTGGGGAGTGGGGCAGTGTGGCCAAGCTGGGGGCACTGGGCAGACAGGATGGGACAGGGCAGGGGGCTCTGCTCCTGGGGCTACCACTGGCCTTCTCTAGGTGGTCTCAGCAAGTCCTTTCCCATGGACGCCAAGCTCCTGGGGAAAGAGTGTTTCCTCCTACAGACCATACCCAGACAACCCCAGACCCAACCTGGGTCCTTGGCATTGCCTGGGGGCAGAGATAGAGGTGGGACAGGGGCTTGTGCAGGGCTGGCAGGCAGGACCAGGGATGGGAGGTCTTTAGGTGTCCTGGACTTATCTTTGTGTAGAGTTCCACGCACAGAGAGCTGTGCCTTGGCAAGGGTCAGAGCTCCTATCGCTCAAAATCCCCCTGGCCTTGGTGGACTTTGCCTGGGCTGCTGAACCAAGGGGGAGATCTTCATCTGCAGGGGAGAGAAAGCAGCACGTGGGAGAGGGAGGAGAGAAAAACCTGAGGGCAGCTTTGGGGAGCCATCCTGGCCACCCGTCCATCAGTCTTTTAACCTGGTGATGCTGGTGAATTGCAAACAATCAGCTGTTTTGCACACACGGCCAAAAAATCACAGCCGAACCAACGGGAAGCCCTGAATGTGCTCTCCCTCCACATGAGTAACTGAAGCTGAGCATGGCTGTTCTGTAGGCGTTCCTAAAATTTGTTCCTTTTAGAAATGATTTATTTTCTTCCAGGTGACTTGAGGTTAAAGCAATACGCCAATACAATCTGTAGTCACCCAGCAAGGCAGCCTTTGGCTGGCAAGACACGGGTCAGAATACAGAGAGTATTACAAAATCTCCCATCTTCTTTATAAACGGTTCCTTAGATTATTAATTCTAGAGGAATTAAAAAGGAATTAATGTGCTAGTACTGGCCCTTAGACATTATAGCAATTAGCATCTTTTACAGTCCTTGTTTAGAAAGCCCAAGTCAGGGAGCACTTGTCATCTGCTCCTGTGCTTCGTTGTAGCAGGACTCCCATGAGCTGGAGTGGAGAAACTAAACAGCTCGATTTTGCTTTATGGTCATTTCCATCTCACTTGTGTTAAACCGGCAATGGGGTGGTTTTTTGAGGTTTCTCTGAAAAATGAAAGGCTTGGAATATACAGAAAGTGTTTTTACCTGCATGGCAGCTCATGTCTGCAGCACTGGCCCCACGGAGCTGCAGAACCTGCTTCCCCTGGGCACTGTGCTGGGTCAAAATCCCAAATGTTTCCCCTCAGGACATCGTTTTCCACTTTAACACCGTGAGCCCCAGCATCGTGCTGGTGCTGAGTCGGGAATTCCAGTCTCCTACAGCAAAGGGGCATTCATTTCAGAGCCTGCCTCCCAAAATAACGGCGTGTCCTTCTTGTCCAGGAGCTGCTGCCTTTGAAAGAGCTGAACGTGTGTGAAGTGAGGAGCGGGAAGGGCAGCGGGCAGGAGGACCACGCGTTCCGCATTGCAGGTCGGTGCCTCTTTGTTTGCTTTGCACGGAGATCTCAGGGTGTCTGAATCACGACCGTCTCCTCTCTCTGTCCCGCTCTGACCTAGTCCCAGAAAAGACCCACATTGTGAAAAGAGGTTGCAGAGAGCTGGAGATCTTCCTCCCACCATTTTCATCTTCCTCTCCAAGGCTTCCCTGCTCCAAAACACCTGATGCCCAGGGCTGCAGGCAGGGCAGGGTTTGGATAAGGAGCTCAGAGGGAGGATGGTCCTGTGCTTCAGCGGGTTAACACTTGGGACACATGGTGGCACCTCCACCTCTGCCCAGTCATTTGCTCTTTGTGCACCACATTTGAAGAGAAGGAGTGGAATAAAACTCCCTCTCCCACTTCTCCTCTCCGTATAAACCCTGAGGCTGGGGATTGAGCCTGAGCAGGCTCTCATACAGCCCAAGGCATACAGGATGGGCAACAGTGCCCAGAGGTGACTTGCCACCACCAATAATGCCAGGCTGGTGCTGTCAGGACCCAGTGTCACTTCACCAACTCTCCCTCCACCAGCACTCTGGCCTCCAGAAGCTTTTTTTAAACTTTTTTCCTGGACATCTGGCTCCAGAAAAGTTTTTCTAGGATGACAGCCTGACTGGAGGCTCCTTTGGGCTGAGTCACTGCTGAATTACAGCAGCCACAAGCCCCCAAGAGTAGTAGTTAAAGTACAGAGAACTGAGTAAATCACCCAGTAACGATACAGAGCCAAGAAATCTCGTTTGTGCCCTGGGTCCACTGTCTGTGTGCTCTGTTAGAGAGAAAGTTATACAGTGGCCATTCAAACAAAACAAAAAAAATTACATAAATGGTAAAACGGAGGTGGTACAAGCAACCCATGAATGGTGAGGATGGTGGAGCTGTGGTCTGCACTGGGCAGGGCTTCTCTGAACCTTTCTGGGAGCCTGTGAAATGAAGGGAAACTTCTCCCAGGCGTAACCTGTCAGGGGTGTCTGTACCGGGGCCGGTGGACTTGTTCTGCTTGTATTGAGACAGGCAGGAGCGTGGCTGGGTGGAGAATGGCCTCGGGCTTTGTTGGGGTTGTGTCCTGCTTAGGGAAAAAACTAACCCAAGCCTTTCTGACAGAGAGTGCTGTATGTATCAGGAAGCAGTGACACAAAGAAAGCAGGGAGGTAGCGATATTTAGGATTGCCAGGAGACGAGTGGAACAGTTTTGTCTCCTAGAGGGGGAGGAATCAAGGCACGGAGGGGATAAGAGCCTTGTCCATGGCCCTACACGGGGTCAGGGTGGAAATCTTTTGTCTCATGACTCTGAGACATGAAAGACATGCGTCCACTCTCTTGAGAAATCCCGTGGCGTCGGTAGTTCCCCATGGACTGCACTTTCGGGGTAGCTCAGCACGTCAGGAGGTGCCGGCACCATCACTGGGAGCGTGGAGGTGGAGCTGAGAAGGCATCCCGGCCGCGTGCGCTGCCAGCCCTTGGCACGGAGAAGCGGATGGCAGCTGGCCATCGCCTTGGCTTTGTGGTCCAGGTCCATCTCCTGCACAGCCTCTGATGCTGAGGAAGCCGTCGAGCACCTTGAGCTTCCTCTGCCTCCTCCCCTGCAGGTGTTGCAGCTTTTTCATGTCTCCGGGATGGAGAGATTTGAGTGGGAATGAACTGCTGCTGCTCCGGGAAGGGGCTTTTTTGCTTCCAGTGTTCTCTGGGCAAGGAAAAGAGGAAGGACAGGGTAGAAGAAAAGAGCACGAGGGCTGGTACAGGTTGCTCAGCGTGGCTGTGTCATGGCCCTGCTGCCAGCGTGCCCCTGGGGTGGGGGAATGGCAGGAACTGAACTGGGAGCAACTGAATTAGTGGCAGCCTCTGGGGCTCTGCCTCGCAGCCTCCCCAGCAGCTCCTGCCCCGAGCTCTGGGGTTCAGAGGCTTCAGGCTCAGGCAGGAGTTTCTTTTCTCATTTTCTCTTCCTTTGGGGCCCTGTTTAGACGCGGCGACGCGAGCAGCCCTGGGGATATGTCTGGAAGGCTGGCCTCCGAGGGGGTGGCAGAGCAAGCGGTGCCATGCTGGGGGTCATGCCCTACCAGCATAACTCCTGCTCTTTTGTACCAGGGCATAGATGCCCAGGGAGGTGTTGGGAGCTGCCAGAATATCTAGATAACACTAGCACCTTCATATACCCTCCCAGCAGCTCGGTAAAGTAGGGCATCACCTCATTTCCATTGCAAAAACAGGGAAAACACGGCAGGAGGAGAGAGAACTCCAAAGCCACCGTGGTGGCTCCACAGACACTTGGATGCCCAAGTGCTCGAGACTTAATTACTGTGATGGATCTGAGCGGAGTGACTTACGGAAAGTCACATGGGGCTTTCTCTGCCTCAGTTTCCCCACCTCTGCTTTGTCTGTGTCAGTGCATTTCCTGACAGACACATGTGTTTCAAAGTCTTAATTATGTGTTGTTCGTAAATAATGCGGGAATCATGGGATGAAAGACTCAGCAGAAGGGCAAAGTATCACGCTTATCCGGTGCACTTGCTTATCTGAATGCTTCCGAGTCCCACACAGGTAGATACCACTGAGCATGCACCAAATATGGTTTAATATGAGATCACTGGTAAATTATTAATCGTAACATAATATTATGTAGCCTCTCAGAAAATACTGTTAACGTCACCGGGTTATGTCTCACACAGAGGGTGTGTGAGATGTTTTTCCTCGTGCTTCTTAGCGGAATGATAGCAGGAAACGTTAAAATCAATAAGCTATAGGGCCGTTCCTATATGTCTGAGAGCAGCTTCAGCTCGTTTGGCACGGATTCTATTGGGTGAAGCAATAAATAAACAGTGACAGAAAGCTCCCCGGGTTCTACCCAGGGCCAAAGTGAAACTGAGAGCTGCTGTGCAGTGTTTGTGTCGGGTCAGGCTCCCCGCAGCAGCACAACGTGGCAGAGATGCTTTTCACAACCTGTTGGGGGGTGTGTGTGTGGATTTTTAAAGCTGAAATCTGTCCATTCAATTCCAGCTCGACTTCTATACCGTCTTTGACTTTTCTTCTTGGCCAGGTTTTGGACTGAAAAGTGGCTGGTGGTGAGAGCTAGGTGGTCCCCAGCAGTCCCCAAGCGGGGACACGTGGCCAGGGTGGTGGCAGGAGGGACTGGAGCAGGATGTCACCAGAACGAAGCAACCCCTGGTGTGATGTGCTGAGCAGAACAGCTCTGGCCATTGGATTGCTTATTGATCATAGAATGGTTGGGGATGGAAGGGACCTCAAAGGTCTTCTTGATGCTGCGGTTGGTGCCCTTATCTGCTCAGCTCATCTGGTGTCTCACATACCTAGGTCCTCTGCCGAATCCCCTTATCGTGTTCTGTCCTACTGAGTCAGCGCTGAAGCAGTGGCTTTATCACCTGGAGAAGCAGATCCTGCTGAATGGAGGAAGCCCCAGCTTGCCCTTCTTCTCTCAGGTCGGTGTCTCGGGAGGGTGAGGTGCTCCGCCTTTTCCCGTGCCGTGGGCTCAGAGCTGAACGTCCAGGACCAGCTGGGTGGATGCTGGGCTGCTCCTGCTGCGTTCCCCGGGAGGGATGATCTCTGCAACCAGCCTCTCTCAGCCATTTTCACCACACTTTTATCTGCTCACCTTCCTTTTCCAGAATCCCGAGTGCCCCACGAGGCTCTGGGTGCCTTCTCTGGGCAGAGGGTTGGGGATGGAAGGGGGAGAGGGGCTCAGGGTCCACTTCCAAATGCTCCTTGCTGTGCTTGCTGCTCTTTCAGTTCGTTGGAAGGCAGTGTGGGGCTGACTCCTGGCATAATCACCTTTTTCCAGACCAGATGCTTGAGTGTTTTGCTATACCAGTCAGGGAGCTGCCCCTCTGGCATGGTGCTCAGGGGGTTTGGTGCCACTTGTGCCACTTCCATCAGCTGCTGGGGCTGTGCACGGTCTGTAATTCAGCCTTTCTGGCCCATGGCCATTGACCCCTCTCCACCAGCAGCGTGTACCAGTTTTGCCAGAGCAAGGGTAACATCAGCAACGTGGCAAGGGCTTCAGTGGCCCCGACTTCTTGTTGCCCGAGGCACCTACCTGCTTGCCAGCCCCTGGAGCTGGCCCTGGGCAATGCACCTCACAGCTTTCTCTTCCTTCAGTTATTCCACCACCCCTAAAATAACGAGGGAGAGACACGCTAATTACCCACACCTGACAGACGTGTTCTTGCTTGGGAGCTCCTCTCCCCATGGAGGAGACGTGTATTTATGTTCAGATGTCCTGAGGGGCCTGGGTCTGGGCAACCAGTGCCCGAGTGAATGTGGGATTTTGGTCTGAATGGCAACTCCAAAGGTGCTGTGTAACACTGAGACCTGACAGCAGCTCGGTGCAGTTGTGCTGGACGTGTGTGTGCACACACAGCTTGCTTTTTGTGCGGTCTCCTGCGAGGGAAGGGTGCAAAAAAGAAAGGCAAGGGTGCCTGGCTGGGGGTGTGTGTGCTGAAAGGGAGACCTGGGACCCAGAGGTGCCACCACCACAGCCCCTGAGGGGTCAGAGCTTCGGGTCTGCTTCAGAGAAACCCTCACACAGTTGGCTGGGCTTGTGCAATGAGCCAGAGTTTGCAAAACATTTGGAGGAGGAGACTGGGACCGGGGCCTAGAAAACATTCAAGAGACCTGTCTTCTCCTCTAGTCTCTGCGGGGTGTTTTACTTCCCTCCCTGTTTCCATCTCCCCGCCTGTAAAACAGAGGTATTCCCTTTGAAAGGCAATGAGCAGATGATGCTAGGTACCAAGTATGATTATTCAGGCCCAGCTGGAAAAGTGGCTCCTGCACAGATTTATTTACTCTTTCCTGCTTTTGCCATGCTTGAAAAGTGTCCTGAGAAGGGCCATGGCCTAAATGCTTCGGGGAGGACCTTGTCTACCCCGCTTCTGAGTTGTGTGTTGTTCTCTGTCCCTAGAATGACTGGACACAGAGCTCCATGGGGAAGGAGGAGCTGCGATGGTCCGTGCAGAACATGCCTGTCCAGGACTGGAAAGGGACCCAGCGGGAATCCCTAGGCGATGTCCTCTGTGTTTCCAAAGTGAAGCTCCAGCATCTGCCTTTCCAGGTAGGACCCATCTCTGGGGAGCAGCCTCCCATCGGCACGGCTGGGAAGAGGCAATGGACGGAGCGAGCAGGGCAGACTCCTACCTGCTCCAAATAATCTAACGGGGCCCTGAAGGGTCATTTTAGCCACATCCCAGTAAATGGGAAAGAGGTTTGTCACAGCTCCTGGGGCCCAGCAGTGGTGTTTGGGGGAGGACACGTGCATAAGCAGTTGCAGGACAGGGCTGGCAGCCGGAGCTGGCAGGGATCTCGGTGGAGCCCCGTTGCAGGGAAGCAGCCGGGCTGTTTCCAGAGCCTTGGGCTGCTGTTGGAGAGACAGAGGAAAAGGCTCTCCAGACCTGAGCCCCCTCTGGCCCTTCACAGGGAACCCTCTTCCCCTTTGCTTCCCAAGGAGCAGCACGACCGGCTGTTGGTGCTTTACCCGTCCACGCTGGTGATAGTATCTGAGGAGCACAACACCCTCTGCTTTAAGGTAGGTTCATCTTGGAGCACCTTCCTGCTCTCTCCCACCCATCCACAGCGGTGATTTCGGCGCTTCCTTGGCTTCTCTCTCCCCTCCACCTGGGTTCCCTGGTTGCTCCTCGTGTTGGCAAGGGCTTTCCCCTCCACGCTGCTCCCTTGCCAGCTGGCAGGTGAGCAGGCAGAGGGATGGTGCAAGCTATCTTCCCATGAGAAACACCTTGCCCTCCTACCGAAGCCCCGGAGGGGGGAAGGAGGAGGTGGCTGCCAAGGAATCCGAATCTCTGGGAGGAGGGAGGCTGGCATGTTTCTGTGTGATTAGGCTGGCACAGAGCCTGGCTCGCCGGCTTGGGAGATGGGAGCTGGAACAGAGTGTCCCCGCAGTGGGGGGGCTTTGCATCCCAAATCCTGCTCTGTGGGACCACTGGGAAGCAGGTAGCATCCGGGCAGCACATCTGGTGCTGGTGGGGAAGGACATAAGGCTGTTCCTTTGGCTGGTGGGCAGAGAGGAGAGGCTGCTGCCGCTGTGCTGCGTTTGCTGCCCTTTCCCTCTGTGGGACAAGGGCCCTGAGCAATGTCTGGGCATGCCAGAGGAAGGACCAACAAGGATGTGGAAGCCCGAGTGCCCCAGGGCATGTGAAATGAGCTTTTCTGGTCCATCCTTTGCTTGGGAGCCTCAGCACAGACGGGCCCTGGGAGCTGCGGTCACTTTGCTTGCAGTCCCAATGGCCCTTAAACCCGATGGCCACCATCCACCTTAGGCATCATTGCAGTGGCTTCTAAACAGCCCTGTGATTTCTGATTCCAGCAAACGTGCCAAAAATGAGCCCTGAGCTGTCTGTGAACGTGCACGGGCAGCAGCACCGGCACATGGTGGAGCGGGTCCTGCAGAGGAACAGCATCCTCCGTGGTCACCCAGAGAGGAGCTGGTGACACGGAAACCCTGCCGAGACCGAGGGGTTGTGAAATCCAGTGTGAACTCACTGGGGTCCTTCTTCACATGATTTCACCCTGCCCACATCAGGCCCCGAGCCACGCAGGCTGCTTTTCATTCCAGGGCTACCCACGGGGAAGGGTTGCGTAGAGCATCTCCCCGGCCAGAGGAGACTGTTCCTGGGCTGGGAAGGGGTGTGAGGAGGGACATACGCCAGTCACATCTCTCCCCATCCCTGCTGCAACAGCCGAGGGTGTTTTCCAGCAGCTGGTGGCTTGTGTGACACACCTCAGACAGAGCCTGTGTTTCGGGAACATGTTGTTTGCAGCTCCTGGGAATGGGGCACCGCGTAAGGGGGGGGGCCTTGGGCTGGGCTCTGGGATTAAGTCATCTCTTTTGAAACCTTAAACCAGATTTGTCTGCCCTGTCCGTGCAACGTTCCCTTCCCACGGTGCCGGAGCGTTGGTCCCCGGGCGTCTCTCTCGCTGGGGCGATGGCAGGGCTCCCCGCAGCCCGGGCACGAGGTGATTCACCAGCCTCTGACACCACAGTGGAAACCTGCTTTTCCACAGGCATGTCAGGGCACAGGAGCCTTCTCCCAAGGGCTTCTGCAAATTAACTTCCCTTCCCCGCCAGCAGACGCTGAGCCCTACGGTTTGTGTGTGAAGGGAATAGCCCGGCCTTTTTTTGTTCTTCGGTTTCATACAAACCACAAGGAGCCATGGCTGCCAAGTTTGCGTGTGGGACGGGGAAAGGGGAAGGGGAAGGAAGGCAGGGGCTGAGCCTGCCGGGATGGGGCTCACCCAAAGCAGCGGGCTCTGGCTCAGCCCTGGTGGGAAAAAGCCCCAGGCGAGGTGTAAATCAGCAAAGGGGGAGCTGCTGGGGGTGGGGGGACAGGTTCATGGCATGCCCAGGGAAGGCTGGGGGGGCTCTTTGCAGCCAACGTGTGGGTTTTTTCGGGGGCTCTTTGCAGCCAACGTGTGGGTTTTTCATAGAATCATAGAAGCATCTAGCTTGGAAAGGACCTTCTGGATTGTCTAGTCCAACCATCAACTAACTCTGACAAAAAAACCGTCACTAAACCATGTCCCTCAGCACCATGTCAACCCGTCTTTTGAACACCTCCAGGGATGGTGCCTCAACCCCTTCCCTGGGCAGCCCAGTCCAATGCTTGATAACCCTTGCAGTGTTAGAAATTGTTCCTAATATCCAACGTGAACCTCCCCTGGAGCAACTTGAGGCCCTTTCCTCTAGTCCTGTCACCTGTGACTTGGGAGAAGAGACCCCCTGGCTACACCCTCCTTTCATGGAGGTTTAGGCAGCGAGAAGGTCTCCCCTCAGCCTCCTCTTCTCCAGGCTGAACACCCCCAGCTCCCTCAGCAGCTCCTCAGGAGACTTGTTCTCCAGACCCCTCACCAGCTCCGTTGCCATTCTCTGGACCCGCTCCAGCCCCTCAGTGTCCCTTGTGGGATGCCGCTGCGCTTCCCCAGGTGGGACTCCAACCCCTGGGCTATTTCAGCCTTCTCCCATGGACACGGGGTGGTCGCCTTAGGGAGGATGGAGCACTGGGTGCCTCGGGGAAGCCCGATGCAGTCCTCCTCAATGGTAGGAAGGCTTGCTTAAATGTGCTGGGGGGGCGAGGAGCAGCAGGAGAAGGCAGCACCGGCCCCTCCACCACCTGCAAATGTCCCTTGTGGGATGCTGCTGCGCTTCCCCAGGTGGGACTCCAACCCCTGGGCTATTTCACCCTTCTCCCATGGACACAGGGTGGTCACCTTAGGGAGGATGGAGCACTGGGTGCTTCGGGGAAGCCTGATGCAGTCCTCCTTGATGGTAGGAGGGCTTGCTTAAACGTGCTGGGGGGGTGAGGAGCAGCAGGAGAAGGCATCACCAGCCCCTCCACCATCTGCACCAGCTGAACCATCCAAGTCCATGAGCGTTGCATGAGCTTCCCCTCCCGGGGTCAGCCCTCCTCGTGCTGCTCAGCCCGTAAATCACTGTCGGTGCAGGATCAGTTCCCCCAAAAGCCCACGTGTGCCCAGGGGCTGCTGCAGAGAGGCGGGCGGCCAGCTCAAACCACCGACAGCTGGCCCAGCTCCACGTTCCCCTTGTGGCAAAGCCGGCACGTCGGCCACGTTCCCCAGGGGCTGTGCAGCTGGGACAGCTTTGCAGTGAGGACACGATGAGGGGTTTCTGCTGGAAACCCTTGTTTTTGCAGCCTGTAACCTGGGGCAAATGGATCCTGAGTGAATTGCACCTTCAGCTCAATGACAGGGTTTCATTCCAGCTTTCTGTGCTCCCTCCGCTGCCGGGCATCGGGGAGAGCAGCGTGGGGTGGGAACTTCTCTTCCTGAGCTCTCCCCAGACCCTGTGTTTGCCATCCCAGCCAGGAGCTGCTCCCAGGGCCATTGCCACCAACTGTCCCTGCTCCATGCCCACAGACAGGGTTGGAGTCCCATCCGGGTGATGTGAACAGGGGCTTAAGGAGCAGAGAAGCTGCGTCTCACTCGGTTTCCCCCTGCTCAGAGAAAGAGAGAGGTGAGAATTAAAGCCATGAGCTCGTTGGTGAGGTGGTTCCAGTGCAAAAATCTGCTCCGGCTGCTCTCCCAGGACCCTTCTTGTTTAATTTCTGTAAGAAAAAATCAGCTTGGGGAGCTTTTGGTGAAAGAGAAGACCTAGATCCTAACTGAGTGTTGACAAACCCTTGGCCCTTCTGCCAGGTTGCCCGTCAGAGGGAATTAAAGTGTCAGTGGTGACACTCAAAGGACAGCAGGCAGCAGAGCAGGGCTGTGCTGCTGGGCTGAGGATGGGGCGCAGCTGCAGGAGCAGAAGAGGTGGATGTGGGTGCAAAGGCACTATTGCACTTTGGGGCAGTAGCACATGGTATCTTATAATTTCAGGTTTTTTCCAGGGATGGGCTGTTTTAGCTCCCTAATAGGAACGTATATGGGGTGCCTGCCCAGAGCAAACCCCTCTCCGATGGCAGGAGTGATGTCCACAACTGGGCTGTGCAGCACAAGAGCTCACGTTTCACCCGCTGGCATTTACAGGGCTCAGCCCTGTCTTTGTGAGGCTTTGGATTGCGGGGGATTCCTGTTTGCAAGGCTGGAATTCCCATTCCAGCAACTCAAACCTTGTTCAGGACCACGCTTGCAAAATTTTCTGGAGAAGTTCAGCCGTTAAATGATGGGAAACTGTTGAAAATGGAGCTGGAAAGGAAGGGGCGTTTTTCTGAGTTTAGTTCTCAGGAGGGACTTTGTAAGAGCAAAGTTTACAGCAATGGCTCGTGAGGTCGAGGCTTTGTTCCTGCAATAAGGGTGAGAGAGCTGTGAGTGGGGAGGGTGAGTTTAGTGGGACACGGCTGAGTCAGTCTGCTGGGGACAGAGTTCTCCAGCCCGTGCCCCATATCTGTGGGACTACAGAGGTGCCTACATCCCCACCCAAATTAGCAGCAGCTTGGGTGCCTCTTGTCTCCTGCAGACCTAGGGGATCTAGGCACCGAGCCTCCTCTTCCTCCTCCCTTTCCCCACTGAGGGGGTTGCCAGTGGGACTGAGCTGCACCTTCTCCCCACAAGGACCAGGCTCCTCCAGCCTCCCCCAGCCCTGCACGGGGACCTCCCCTCCTCATCCTCCCACCTACACTGGCAAAATCAGCTCCTAAAGCCTCTTGGCTTTGGGGAAAGCCCCCGTGGAAGTGGAATTTCGTCAGCTGGGTGCCTGTGGAGGCTCCATCCCTCCATGGGCAGCCAGGTTGTCCCCTCTGCTCTGTCTCTCTGTGGGCTGCGTGGTGGTCCTCAGCCTGCTTCTCTCTCGACAGGGCGAGCTGCCGCTCAACGCCATCCAAGTGCTTTTTGAAGAGAACGAGAAAACCTCCTTTTTAATAGAAGGTGCGTGTCCGGCGTGGGGAGGGGTGTGCTGGCAGCAGCCACGGGGGTCTCCGAGGTTGGGCTGGTCCCACTAGGATGCTGTGCCCACCTTCCTGCCACCTGAGCTCTCTGAACTGAACTGTTTGGAAACCCCAGTGCCCTGGGTACCTCGGAGGACCTGGCTTTGCTGGCAGGGAGAGGCTGTGAGCCACCAGCAGCATGGTTCTCCCTCGTTTAGATCTGGGCTGTGTTGGTCCCCATCCCACCTTCAGCCAGGTGCAGGTGGGCAGCGCCGAAGGCAGAGCCTTCCCATTGTCCCCACACTGGTGTCAGGGTCTCCAGACCTGTGTCAGGGTCTCCAGACCCTGTGTCAGCGTCTCCAGACCTGTGTCAGTGTCCCCACACCCATGTCAGGGTCTCCTGACCTGTGTCAGTGTCTCCAGACCCCGTGTCAGTGTCTCCAGACCCTGTGTCAGGGTCTCCAGACCTGTGTCAAGGTCTCCAGACCCCGTGTCAGGGTCTCCAGACCTCTGTCAGGGTCTCCAGACCCCGTGTCAGTGTCTCCAGACCCTGTGTCAGGGTCTCCAGACCTGTGTCAAGGTCTCCAGACCCCGTGTCAGGGTCTCCAGACCTCTGTCAGGGTCTCCAGACCCCGTGTCAGTGTCTCCAGACCCTGTGTCAGGGTCTCCAGACCTGTGTCAAGGTCTCCAGACCCCGTGTCAGGGTCTCCAGACCTCTGTCAGGGTCTCCAGACCCCGTGTCAGTGTCTCCAGACCCTGTGTCAGGGTCTCCAGACCTGTGTCAAGGTCTCCAGACCCCGTGTCAGGGTCTCCAGACCTCTGTCAGGGTCTCCAGACCCCGTGTCAGTGTCTCCAGACCCTGTGTCAGGGTCTCCAGACCTGTGTCAAGGTCTCCAGACCCCGTGTCAGGGTCTCCAGACCTCTGTCAGGGTCTCCAGACCCCGTGTCAGTGTCTCCAGACCCTGTGTCAGGGTCTCCAGACCTGTGTCAAGGTCTCCAGACCCCGTGTCAGGGTCTCCAGACCTCTGTCAGGGTCTCCAGACCCCGTGTCAGTGTCTCCAGACCTGTGTCAGGGTCTTCAGACCTGTGTCAGGGTCTTCAGACCCCGGGAGAACGTGGAGAGGGATGGACCAAAGGGATTCAGGGTCTCTGGGAGAACATGGGGGAGGGATGGAGCAAAGGGATTCAGGGTCCCTGGGAGAACACGGGGGAGGGATGGAGCAGGAGGATTCCCGTGGGTTTTTGGAGGACGCAACACAGGGTGTTGATCAAAGCTGGTAACAGCAGTGGGTGGTGTTTTTCCAGGTCGGCTAATCAATTCCATCCGGGTGATCTGCCGCAGCTACGACGATTACCAGGAGTGGCTCTACTGCCTCAAAACAGCCCAGTTTCGAAACGCCGACTCCTCCCTCTCTGGATCAGAGAGTTTCTCAGGATCAAAGCTCCCACACCCCGGGCAGGTAAGAGATGTCCTGCCTTTGCACCGTCATCAGTCCATGTCTCCCAGGACATCTCTCCTAGGATGTCTCTCCTATCTCTGCCCACACGTGACTGCTCTTGTGACACAGCAGACTTTGCTTCAAGTCTCCTGCTCAAAGGCTGTCATGAAGTTGCTGATCCTTGCAAATTGCTTTGAAGCCCTGTCTTACATGATATGGGAAGTATTATATTAAATTCCTTCAAAAGCCAGCCCCTGGCCACAGCCTGTCACAGCGCTGTGCAGCGAGGCATTGGCAGAAGGATATTAAGGGGGTCTCGCAGGGAAGGGGATGCTCACCCTGCCACCACTGCAGCTGGGATGGGGTCAGGGTGCCTTCACCTTGTCATTTGTCCTTGTCACCCTGCGAGCTGGCCCCAGCCACCCTCTCATTCCTAGAGGGCAGCAGACCCCTCCGCAGTGGGCAGGGATGCCATGTGGGCACAGCCTGGACCCGCTGCTGGCCCCTGTGATGCTTGGGAGGGAGATGGAGCTGGGGAGGGATGTGCTGTTCCTACCTGCTGGTCTTCTCCCCCGTCTAGTTTGGCGGCAGCGGGAGAGGGTCCCTCACTTCTGATGGCCGTACGAACTCCTGGGCGTCGGGAGGGAGAGTGCCCACCTTAACACACCTCTCCCAGAACAGCGGCTCTCTCCCCGATGGACAGTCCTTCGTGCTGATGCCTGAAAGCAGAGCACTTGAAGATTCCTTCTCCTCCGGCTATTCCCAGCCTCTCCATGTGAGTGAACCCCCCAAACCATAGAACCATAGAATTGCTTGGGTTGGAAGGGACCTTTCAGATCATCTGGTCCAACCGTTAACCTAACACTGACAAAAACCATCACTGAGCCATATCTCACCTTTCAGATCATCTGGTCCAACCGTTAACTGAACACTGACAAAAGCCATCACTGAGCTATATCTCTAAGCACACAGAATCCCATGGGGTTGGAAGGGACCTCTGGAGATCATCTAGTCCAACCCCCTGCCAAACCAGGTCCACCCAGAGCAGGTTGCACAGGAACGGGTCTTGAAGGTCTCCAGAGAAGGAGACTCCACCACCTCCCTGGGCAGCCCCTTCCAGGGCTCTGCCACCCTCAAAGTGAAGAAGTTCCTCCTCCTGTTTAGGTGGAACTTCTTATATTGAAGTTTGTGTCCTACTCCAAAAGCCTGGGACACGTGGGGACAGACACTGCCTTTGAGCAGAGGGATCTATCCCGGATGGGCTGAGCTCAGATGGTCAGTTTGCCACGTGGCTCCACGCCTGGAGCCTGTATTTGTCCTGGCTCACCTTTGTCACTGCTGATAAAGGACAAATCTGCTGAGGGGTCCCGTGCCAGTTCTCCACTCTGCATAAGGACTGTTGGTACAGATTGCAAAAAGGGCAGATGGGACTGTTCAAAGGTCAGGAAATCCCAAAGGAAAAGCCCGTGGGTGGGAGGTGATGGGCTGGGCAGGTCTTTGCTCTGCCCCCGAGCAGCATTTGTACCACCAGGGGATGGGGAGGAGCACATGGGGCAGGGACCTGGCTGCAGGACCAGGCTGATGCAGGAGCACCACGAGATGCCCACAGCAGGGGAGGTGTGTGTACCCAGGGCTGGGCTGAGGAGAACCATCTCCAGGGTCTGTCTCCTTGTTTCAGAGCCTGGTGCACCCCAACTGGCCAAGCACGGGGCTACCCCCCCAGGACCTGCGGAGGGGCGGCAGCGCCAGAAAGTCCAAGGGCAAATGTGGCCAGCAGCTGCCCAGCCAGGACACGGAGAGGACCATCTGCAGCCTTATTCCTGAAAACCCCAACGGCGAGCTCCTGTCCTCGGTGTACCACCAGCCCTACCCCGCACACCGATCGCAGCATCACCCCGCAGCTCCCCCGTCACACCTGGACCTCAGCAACGTAAGGGGGCTGGGACGCGGTGGGGATGCCCTCCTGCCCAGGAAGGGTCCACCAGCAGAGAAACTGGTGCACAATTCATGTTTTCCTTACCCCTGCTTGCAGGGATAGCTGTCCTGGCAGGCGTGTAACCCATTTCCATTTAAAAATGGCCCATGGGAGGTGAGGTTAAACACAGCAAATGGGGCAACGTCTCTTGGAGCCCTGAGATGATGGGCGGTAATTCCTGAGGCAACACAAGTAGGAGTGTTATTACTTCATAGGACACAGCCTCTTCTCCTGAGGGCTTTCCAGCATGTGTCCATCACTGGTCTAGCGTGTGATGCCATGGTTCCCTCCCCATGATGAGTGTGCCTCTGCCTTATGCCCAGGGAAGTCCCCTTGTTATCACAGCTGGGAGACAGCCCCACCACCCCTCAGGGCTGAGCAGCGTTTGGGACTTGAATTGCAGGGACATTCCCTGCTCTGATCCCTCCTGGGGATGAATTGCAAGTGGGGAACACAGAATCACACAAAATCAAAAACAGTGGGGCTTGGAAGGGACCTCTGGAGATCATCCAGTCCAACCCCCTGCCAGAGCAGGGTCACCCAGAGCAGGTTGGACAGGAAAGCATCCAGGCATCACCCAGAGCAGGATGGACAGGAACGCATCCAGGCAGAGTTTGAAATATCTCCAGAGAAGGAGACTCCACACCCTCTCTGAGCAGCCTCTTCCAGGGCTGTGGCATCCTCAAAGGAAAGAAGTTTTTCCTCATGTTAAGACAGAATTTCCCATGTTCCTGTTTGTGCCTGTTGCCCTTGTCCTGTCACCGGGCACCACTGAGAAGAGCCTGGCCCCATCCTCTTGACACCCATCTTTTAGATATTGATGAGCATTGATGAGATCCCCCCTCAGCCTTCTCCTCTCCAGGCTGAACAGCCCCAGGTCTCTCAGCCTTTCCTCCTCAGAGAGATGCTCCAGTCCCCTGAACATCTTCGTAGCCCTTCACTCTCCAGCAGTTCCTTGTCTGAGGAGTCAGTCACGTCGTGGTCCTGTTGCTCCTTGTCTTTCTTGAAGCGGCGTGTCACGTTCCTGTTTCAATTCTGCCTTTCAGCTGAGCGGATGGAGCTTGGTGGGGAGTCAACCCTCGACAGCTTCCAGCTCCCTGGAGAAGGCGGCCGTGCCCTGCTCCCCCTTGTACACGGACCCCTACACTCCCAGCTCCTCGGGCGCCCGCAGCCTGGCGGGCTCCGGCTTCCTGCAAGAGGTACCTGCGCCTTCGCTGCGCGTTACGGCCCTGACTCAGCACACGGGGATTTTGGCTCCAGAAATCGTGCCTCGGGCCATTTCTTTTCCTGCTGTCTGCCCCAGCGGGATGGGGAAAAGCATTTCGGGGTTGGGCAGGGCACAGCATAGTTCTCTGGTTTTTTTCAAGCCGGGACAGAGTCGGAGGGGAACTTGTCTTATCACTGGATGCCAGCGGCACGACAATCCCAGGAAGAGCCAGAAACTCCCCTCTCTGGTTTTTTTCAAGCCGGGACAGAGTCAGAGGGGAACAGGTTTCCCTTGTCTTATCGCTGGATGCCAGCGTCAGGACAATCCCAGGAAGAGCCAGAAACTCCCAAAACAAAGGCAGAGACTGAGCTGTGACCCAGTCTACAGAAACCAGAGATGAGTCAGACATGGAGACCACTTTACCCACCCCCAGAAATTCCAGCTGTGATAACTGAGTGCCTGTTGAAGGCTACATTTCTAGTTTTGAGCATCTCTTCTGAGTCCGTGGCTGGCGTCCCCCATACTGCCAAAGTCCTCCCTTTCCTTGCAGGGTTCTTCTGACTTCTCTCTGTCCTTCCTGACCCCCTGAGGAATCAGGAGGTCTCATCCTACTACCTTCACATCTGGCCAACTTCCACTACCTCTATGGGTCACTGCGAGGGACCCACAGCCATTCTTCTTTTCCCTTCAGGGTTGGAGTGTAGTAGAATTGGCCAGGTGGGCAGAAAAATCTGGGTTTGCCTAAGACTGCTCAGAGCAGGGCTGGCTTGCAGGTGGGAAGCAGCAGGTCAGTGGTATCACAGCAGGTATCAAATCTAGAGGTTTGGGGTTTTTTTGGTTAAATTCCTACAGTGTCACGGACAGATGGGTTCAGCACACGTGGATGGATTCCCAGCCCTCCCGGTACCCCAGCATCTCTCTCTGCAGAAGAGGAACTGCCACCCCCTGCGTGGTGGTCACTGCAGAGAGGTTCCTGCTGCCCTCAGTTACAGCACCACCTCATGCCATCTCCAGCTGAGGCCTCCTGCTGACGCTTATCTTGAAGAGGTGAGTTAGTAAATGCAGCCCTAGTGCTCCCCACACTGCAGGGGAGAACGTGGGGGTCCCAGCTCGCCTTTCTCTGGGCTGGAAGTGGTGGGTCATGGCAGGGCTCTGAGCACTTTGCTCTGTATCTTGAGAAGCAGTGATGGGGAAACCCAGAGAGGGCTGATTCCTGCTGTGTGGTGTTCCAGGACTGCAGTGCTCAGTCATCCTCATCAGCACGTCTCTTGCTTTTCAGGTCTCTTCTCTGCCAGAGGAACATCTGGGCCATTCATTGCACCCACCAGGTGAGACCCTTGGGATGTTGCCTCCCACCCTGCCTCGTCAGTGCCTGTCTCCATAAGCATCATTCAAAGCAGAAATGAGGGAGTGCATGACCTTCTGCTTCTTCGTGGTGGTACCCATCACTTGTGGGGCTCGTGGTTCATTCTATGGCACGCTTGCAGCCTCCACTGCTTTGCCCAGCTCTAGCAATTTTGCTGGTGCTGTGCGTTCTCTCCTCCACCAAAGGAGACTCCAGCCCCTGGGTTGCTCCTCAGCTCTCTGAGCGCTTTGGTCTGGTTTTTTGCAGATGATAATTTTGGTGCTTACGACCTGCCGGAGACCAGCCTTGACTCCCCGGCCTACCACGACTACGCCGAGCTCCAGAGCTTCCAGAGCGACTTCAGCTACGACAACCTGTGGGAAGCTGAGGGCAAGGAGCCAGACACCCCCCACGCCTCCCCGACTCCCAGCCAGCAGTTCTACCAGGCCTGAGGGAACTTCTCCACAACCAGGCACGGAAAAGCTCCCCGGGCTCATTTCTCGCCGGGTTTCCCTCCAGGACGAGGAGCCTGGGGCGTACAAAACGTATAAAGCTCTGCGAAAGGCTGGTTCCCATGTCCTGGCAGGTCGAGAGCTCAAACTTCTCCCCTAAATCTGAGGAAGGGGGTAAAGCAGGAAAGCGACAGCCTCTGCGGAGCCGGAGGAGCAGCGTGTGTGCCGTGCCAAGGAGCACGCTCTGCCGCTGCCCCGGCTCGGGGAGGGACCAGCATTGCCCCCCTGAAAATAAAAGGAAGACCAAAAAGCCGGTCAGGGTCCCTCAGATAAAAGGGAGAGGGTGTTCAGATGGAGCAGTCGCTCAAAGGCCAAAGAAAAAGGGCTGGGTTAGTTTGATCATTTTCATTTCCACCAGAGCCCTCAGGCTGGTCCCTTGGAGGATCCGCCGATCCCCAAGAATAGCTGTAAAGCCAAACCTTGCCCCCTTGGGCTCTGAAGTCTGCAAAGAGGCACAAGACATGCCCCATCGTGGTGTACAAGGTTGGGAGCAATAGTTGTGCTCATAGGGTTGTCTTCCTGCAAGAGCAGAGTTATCTGACAGAGATGGAGAAAGAAAAAAGGAAATCCAGATCTGCGTAGAAGGGAATATTCTTTCCACTTTATGCAAAAAATCCTTTCCTGCCAGTGCTGGCTCCAAACCACGGTGGTGACCTGCAATATTATGAGCCTGCCACCTTGGGAGATGGAATGGAGAAATGGGCTGCCAGCAAATATGCCAAGTGGGTTGTGTTTACCGAGGTCTTCCCTGGAAAGGGTGCCCCGGGTTCCTCTCAGGGGGCTGCCTCCTTCCCTCCCGCCGTGCTGGACTGGCAGTGAATGCTGCCCGTGAGCATCTAGGCAGGGAGGGAAGGAAGAAAATTCACTACAAGCCAAATTCATCACAGCCATAACACTCTGGTGGTCAGAGCAATGCCATTATGGGCTGCAACCTCTCTCTTCCCCCCCTCCCGAGCAGCAGCAAGAGCAGGACACAAACAAGAGGGGACAGAGTCTCAGGGCTATTGTTTTCCAGCCTCTTAGGCCAGATCCTTTAGCACATAGAAGGTCAGCAGCAAATCCAAATGTTTTCACCTGAGGCTCTACATTCTTAACCTTTGTTCCCTGAAGAGGCTGCAAACCAAACATTTTAGCAAAATCTCAGTTTTCATTCTTTCACTGGTGCAAACAAAACAATCCCGGAGCTCTTTGTACTTGAATCTCTACGTATTACATTGTACTTACATGTATTATTTTTTTTTTCAGAAGGTATCCAACAAAGTTTACATGCAAGGTTTGAGTGGATTATATGTATTTAAGGTGTAAATGTGGCTGAGTTGAAGCTCTATTTAATTTTCTAGCTGTGGATGACATGCAGTACTGTAGAATGGGCAGCTGTCTGCCCATTTGTGTGTGTGTGTGGGTTTGGGTCTTCTAGCTTTTATTGTGTTATTTCAGGTTTACTCTCGTTTTGGGAAGATTTGTATCTAATAACTTAACCCCCAAAGAATCTATTTATTCAGAACAAAACTGAGCTGGGGAACATCAGGAGTGCAGAGTCTGCTGGGAGGCAGCCGTGCTCATGAGCTCCTATGGACACGTTGGCTTTGAAGGTGGTCACCTTGATGTTTTTAATTGGGTTTCAAGAGTGGTACCTGCAATGTATCGGGAGGGAAAAGCCCCCTCCCTATCGCTGTAAAAGTTCCCTGGTGGTATTTCTGTGAGACTGGACAATTTGCAATACACGTTCTTCTGGAATAACTGCTCTTCTCTCTTTCTGTGCCATCACCTGGTTTAGTGGAGGTGAATATTTTTGTCTGTCGTGGCTTCTTCCCTTGAGGACTTTGGGTCCAGGAGGATTTCCAGAGTGCTGACTGGCTCTACTTTGGGTCAGGCGCTTGTAAACACCTCATCCTGGAGCAAAGTCTCCCCTGGCTGGTTTTAACACCAAAGCCAATAGGACTTTGCTTCAGCCCTGCCTTCTGGGGGGCTTGGAAAGGGGCTCTGGAAATGTGGGTGACTCCAAAGGGCTCCGTGCCGCGGTGTGGCCGGGAATGTCCGTGCCATGCTGTGATTTGTGGTGGTCCATGCTACCTGCTCTCCAGCCCGGGGGCAAAACTAGGTGAATGGGGTGGGACTGGGGTCAGATATGGAGCTGAGCCCCCTGTGAGCTTCCAGCTGGGGCAGGGTTTGGCTCTGCCTTCGCCCTGTTGTCAGTCTGACTGTCGTGGTTTGGGCTGAAATGGCCACTTAAAGGCCAGATGCTCTGACTTCGTGGCAGCTGCTTTCTAACGAAGCTGGTCTGGAAGAGGATCTGGCCATGGCAGGGGCTTGCTTGGCAAGGAAATATCGCTCTGAGGATGGCATCCAGAGGCCTGTAGGCCACTTCTGTCTCTGCATCTGCTCTGGGCAGAAAACCAAGTGTCCTGGCTACCTCTGCAGAGGGTAATCTCTGCAGCTCAGTAATCTCCTCGGGCTGGGAGCAGCAGGGCAGGCAGAGGGCTTGTCCTCCCAAGCACAGCCAGCCCGGTGGCTGCTGGAAGGTGACGAGGCTTGGGATGGTGGCAGGGATTTGTGCTGTGGCCAAAGCTGCTCAAGAAACAGAATAACAGCTCTCCTGGGGTGCCACGTGCTGAGGGGTGACAGGGACACAGTGCACGGCAGTGAGGTGCAAGGTCCTGGTTTCAAAACGCTGCACAGACACGACACAACTCCTAAAGTGGTTTTTAAGCCCTGCTCCCGGGGTGGTGACTTTCCTCCCCAGCTCCATCTGGGCTAAATTTGTCACTCTTGCAGAGGCTGCCCTTTCAAGGGGCGGGCTGCTCGTTTCTCACGCTTCCAGCACGCCCTCGGTGCGCAGCTGCCGTGGTCTGTTCTGGCTCCGATTTCGGGTCCTGAACTCCCATCTTGACGTTCCTGCCTCTTGCCCCTGAGTTATTGCCTTGTTCCTGCAGGACTCCCGGGGCAGGGGGGAGCTGCTTCCAGCTGCTGCCCGCCGCAGAACATAGCGTTTCGGGATGAAAGGCGAGCGTGCCCTTGGCAAACGGGCACCAGCAGGGGCTTGCACCGACGGAGAGAGGGGCTGTGGGTGGAAACAGGACCAAGTGTCCCATCCCTGAATGCTGCTGGCCACTTGACCACTACAGCCCTGCCGTTTCCTCCCTGCCACCCTGCAGGAATTAAGGATTGTGACAACAAGCTGGCACAGAAATGGTTACACAGCCCCTGCCATACAGGCAGCTAAAGGAGTTTTACACCCTCTCCCAGCTGGGTTTAGCTTCCCTGGAAGAAGCACTTTTTCCTGCCCTCCCTCTATCTGTCCCTGCTTTAGAAGGCTGCACAGCTTTGCTAGGCTGGTATAATTAATGCAGAGTAATTTATGTGTGCATACAAGCCCTAAAATGTTTCCAAACCAGGCCCTATAAGCACCAGCTTGGTCAGGACTCACACCCGAGCTCCTCAGCACAGCCCAGTTTCCCAGTTGAGCCATCGTTTTTGCTGGCCACTGGTTTCCCCCTGATTTTTCCTCTTCAGATGCTGATCCGGGCAGCTCCATCGCTGGTGGGGACAGGGCCGTGTCTGTGAGCTCAGCTCATGGACACCCACCTTTGTGACTGTGAAAACCCCTACTCTGCTGCTTTTTCTCTGACACCTTTCTCAGCAGATTCAGGATTTAAAAATAGAGGGTTTACTTAAAAGTGGCACTAGATGTCTGGGTGCAGCTTGCATTAAAATGGAAGCTGTAGCACCTGTAAACACCCTAAATACCTCTCATTTCCTGAAAAAAAACCCCTGTATTGATGCTTTGCAGCCTGGCTGCAGCAGAACTATGGTCTGAACCAGGTCACCCCCAAACTGCAGTCCCAGCTCCGGAGCTGCCACAAGCCTGTGCACATCCCACCGCTCACAGGATAGCTGCATCCTGATTCACAGAGGCAGATGAAAGGCAGGAGATGATACAAGCTGCCAACAATTCACTCGGGAAAGCTCCTGCTCCTCTGCTGTGTGTGGACTTGCTGATCTTTTTATCCGCATTTACAAAGACACTTGGGGTTTGGGAATCAGCATTTTGCATGGACGTGTCTCTTCCCGTCAGGCTGAAACCACGGCTGGGGTCGGGGAAGGACCTGCTGGGTGAACCTGCTGCCTGTTCCTGCTGGGAAAACAGGAGGAGCTGGAGATGTGCAGGATCTGCTCCAGTCCCTGACCAGCAACTCCTTCTCTGCCCGGTGGGTGGGGGAATCCACCCAAACATCTCCTGCTCTCCCAGGGCTCAGGAAGGCCGGCTGAAATAGGGGGGGCAGCTCTTGGGGATGCACCTGCCTGACTTTTTCATCTGCTTGGCAAGGCGAGGTGTCAGATGTGGGAGCTACGTGCAAGGCGAGGAAGAGGAGTGGGATGGCACGGCTCCCACCTCCAGCCCCGACCCTCTCTGGGGGGGGGAAGGAAAACGGTCTCCCGGCAGCGAGGATGCACCCAAAAAGGTCGTTTCTATTGTGGTGGTTGTTGCAAAAAGATGGTGAGCTCCTGGCTCCTCCCTCCGGGGTGATGACCTCGGTGTGGAGGGAGAGGAGAGAGCTTAAAAGGTCGCAGAATAAACCAAACATTGAAATTGCAGGCAAGTCCAGGCTTGTTTCCTTGAAGGACACTTGGACTGAGCACTCCCAGAGCTGATCTCCCGATACCAACAAGACCTTTCAATATTTCTTTTCGCTTCTGCAGCTGACTCAAAGCATCCATCTTCTGAAATATTTCTCTCATCCGCTTCTTCCCGTGGGGAGCAAAAGGAGTGTGAAATGTGCCGATAACCTGATGGATCACCGGGCACCTTCGGTCACTTGTAGCAGGTGGCAAATCATATTTATGTCTCCAAGCCCAAGCTCTAAAGGATCAGACACTGATTATCACAGACAGGCAAAGGGCGCTCACTGGTGGAGGTGGCAGGCACCTTGTGTTACCCACAGCATAACAGGAGCATCCAGGTCTCCTGGGAAGAAACTTAGCACGAGTTTTTGAGCACTAGGATAGAAGCATTGACAGAGTGATACATCCCATGTCCCTCAGAGCAGGAAAACAGGCGCTCGGTGCCCTTCACAGCTCGAGCAGGTCGAGGAGGCTGCTTTTCCCAGCCTGAGTCTGGTGTTTTGGCTGTGCAGGGCTCAGCAGGGCAGTGGGAGTGCAGACCATTCCCTACCATCCTTGTGACATCTGGGTCTGACCATGTCTGATGTTACTATTTGCACCCAAACCATCCTGCAGCCTGCCCCATGTAGTTCAGGAAATCCGACTGTAGCCTCCGACTGTAGCCTCCGACTGTAGCCTGACTGTCTGTGAGCTGCAGAATGAGTTGTCTTCCTGCAAACAAGCGTGCACCACAGCCTTCAAGTGATGGTGGCAGGACAGGACACACAGGTCTCTTCTCAGCAGTGATTTAGCAGCATTGCATTCACCATGAAGTTCTCCAGCCCAGCCCCAACGGCCTGAGCTTCCTCATTCCTCTCAAGTGACCTGAACCGGCAGCACCCCCAAATGGCTGCTTTGGCTTGTGGGGAGCTGCTGAGAACAAAACTACTTCCCCAGGGAAGATGAGGTCCCCAAAGCAGTGCCCTATTACTTAGAAAAGATCCCGCTGACACGGGTACAAGGCAGCCTCCCCACATCCCAGCACAGAGCCCTGCCCCATCCAGACCTCCCTGGAGGGGCTAATGTCATCAAAAGTGTCTTCAACGCTGTGGTTTCTGGCCAGAAGCCCTCCCAGTTCCAGTGGGATCTCCAGGCCAACTTTGTAATCCCTGAGACACTGAGACAAACCAGAACAGCTCTCCCAACCACTTTGCCCAGGATTAAATTCTGTGACTTTTAGCCCAAGCACTTATGCCCTGTCAGTGCTGCACCTGGGAGTACTGTACGTGGCTGGGAGAGAAATTATCTGTTCCTGCAGCTGCAAAGCGAAGGGAAAACATTATTTCCTTCCAGGTTTGTGTGACAAGGCTAGAAAAATCTGAAAAATCAAACCAAGGAAGAAGTCAGCAGTGACCATTCAGGGTTTACCCACATCCTTTACCCTGGGGACTCCATTTTATGTGAAGAACCCTTCAGGAAGAGCCAGAGCATCCCGAGAGAGGGGCTGGCCATCCCGGAGACCCCTTTCTCTTTCAGCAAACCCGTCTGCTGCCCTCCTCTGACCTTTTCCTGCTTCCCTCAGCTCCCTGTGGCAGTCTCGTGTGATGAAATTGCCCGATTCCTCCAGCTGTTCCCCCCCAACCCACCCCCCACGCCAAGGCTGCTGTATTTCCACCTGCCACCGAGAATGCCCAGGGCGCTTAATGGATTATGGCTGGATAAACAGGAAAACTGAGCATATGGGAACCCTTCAGCCTGTCCTGTGCCTGCCGTGATCCTGCTCGTTGGAGGGAGCGAGGTCTGTCGGGCATGTCTTTCAGGGCCTGAGGTGTTCCCGGGTGCAGGACAGGCTGGGGAGCTGGGAAGCACG